CCCTTGGGGCCACTGCTGCACTTGCACAAGAACTGAACACCCTCCTCCTCTTCTCAATCCTATACAGTATTAGGGTACCTCTGCTTCATAATAGATAGCACCAAAATCTCACAGGCATTGGAAGATAAGCAATAATTTCATGTGTATCTTAGGATAGGTGGGAGCACTGCTACAGGTCTACAAGAGTTCTGTTCTGTTGATCTCATTCTGAGGTCCAAACTTCACTACCTTGTCTGCAGTTACCCCAGTGCTGCTCGATCAGTGACTAGAATTAGTGGACTCAATGAATGGTAATTTTTTTCCTGTATTTTAGGGAGGGGTCTATGGGGTGGTCAGGGTCTCACAACTAGATTGGACTCATAGTGATCCACCTGTTTACAACCTCCCAAGTTCTGGGATTACAGGGGTGTACCACCACACCCAGTCTCAATTGCCATCTCAGTGCACCCCTGGAGTGGGGCCTGCAGGACAGGCCAAGGGGTTGAACCCCTGGCCCCTGCACCTGTTTGCAGGTGCTTTAATCCACTGAGCTATTTGGCTGCCCTTGAATGGTAAAATTAATTAACACATGGATGAACAATCCCTGGTTCATTCTGTGTACTATCAGGGTAATTTATGGATGCTTCCCCACTTCCCTCCCCAGACTGCTCTGAAGGCCCTAAGAAGAAGATACTATGTCTCACTACTTGTAATGATTTGATTCATACAAGACTTCTGCATAGAAAAAGTTGACATTTACCAAAAAAAATATTTTGGGTCCTGACCATCACCTCTGCATCATGATGCTCTAAGCCATTCGTGGCAAACCTGACTACATGTCAGAGCACACTGTTGTGGAAAGTTTTAAAAGATTTACCCCAACTGTTGTAAATTAATTAAAAGAAGAGTATCTCTAAACTCATTCATGCTGCGCCTGTGGCATTCTCTAACACTAATACTTCCCTGGGTATCTCTTCTATAGGATTACTTAAAATATGGGGAAATGGCTGACAGGACTGACAGTTGCCTTAGTAGTACACTGATAGGTTGTCACCTGTCTTTCCTCCACCATTTCAAGCCCCTACCTTAAGTCTCAGTGAATTGTGTTGATTTATTCCACAAAAATCTTTGAATGCCTATTATATGTTGGATTTTAGAAAGACCCTTGAGTGCTCAGTCTTAGATAATTTAGACATAAGGCCATGTTCTTATGAGATATACAGCCTAGAGAGAAAAGCAGTCAGAAAGGAGAAACCCAGGTTATCTCAGAAGAACAGGTCTGGGGCTCCCATGTTTCAGCTGTTCCTGATGGTGACCTGGAATGACTTATGCGCAAGGGCTTATGCCAAAGGAATTGGAAGAAAGAGAACATTCCAATCAAAGGAACTTTAAAACAGAAGTTGTAGTTCAAGCACAGAGAGTAAGAAAAACTGATAGGCTAAAGATAAATTAGTTGTATTTCTATTAATTGTCCCTGTGGTGGCTATGATTGTTTTAGCAGTGTAAAATGGGAAAAATCATTACCATTTCCATCCAAATGCTTGGGAATGTTACAAAGGCAGTAGTAATAAGGACACAGCCTTGTGAGCTTTTGAAAAAAGGCCCTGCAAACATTTACACTGTTATTAAGCTCATTATTCATTTTAGAACTCAAGCAAAAACATTACTGTAAGCCCTTGGGCAAAACTAGCTTACCTCAAATCTCACTCTCCCTTGAAAATGCCCACAAAGTCAGTATTCAGTTCCACCAGAGCCGATTTGGTTGGTGATCAGGCTTGTAGAGCTACAGGTCATTAGGAGAAAAATATTCTCCTTCCAATCATGTGTCCTTCCTACCATGTGAAGCTTTTTAAAAAAATGTTTGATCCCCTCTCTAATTTGCATCATTATTCTTCAATTTCTTCCTGTTTCACGGTACATTCTTTATTCCCCTTAGATTTCCAAATGCAAGTCAGCAAGAGGTGGCTTCCAAGGCCACTTGCAGGTTAGCTCTGAAGATGTGAGGCTAAGATAAAATAAGGCTAATTGGGCAAATGAACTTCAATAGCAAACATCCCATTCTACAATGTCTGTTGCACCTTATGGTTCCACATGCCATCAAACTCCATGTGCTGATCGCGATGGGGTGAGTCTAATTGAATTCAGCCTGGCGGTGGAAAGTGACTGTCCCACACACATGGCTACCAGATAACTGAAAGAATCAGAGTACAGTATTTACATAAGCTTAATGAGTAGGATTGGATTTTTCCTCCACCTTTGACTTAATTTTCAGTTGTTTGCTTCATCATTCTTATAATGAAAGATGACAAGTGAGAGGGCAAGTGTATGTGCTACATGATAGATATGGGAGGCAAAAAAGTTTACAAAGTAATGAACCATAAGTTACATCCAGCTGAGAGTATCTGCTTTTAAATGTACTGATTATCTATGCTTACTGAAGTATCCTTTTTGTGAGCAGACTGTACCAGGGCCATTGAATTTATTGGCTAAGTCCAATGAACAGCGCAACACGGGCATCACCATCAGCTTGTTACATTATCTGTGATCTCTTATAGACTGCAGAGTGTCACTAAACTTTTCCTTGGCATCTGTGTTTCAAAAATGTTTACTCTTTCCACCATACCACTACTGTGATAATTTTACACTTGTAATATATTCTGACAAAACAAAATAATTCTTGTTGACATTGTACATTGGATGACACTTGAAGACATTTTTTCCAAAAATGTCAGATTCTTCTTGAAGGATTGAATTATAAAACAGTGAATGCATACTGGTGAGCTATTTTCTTTTTGAGACAGGGTCTCACTGGGTAGTTCAAGCTGGCCTTGAGCTTACTATGTGGCCCATGCTGGCCTCGAACTCCCAGTGCCCCTCCTCCCTCAGCCTTCAACTACTGGGACTAATAAACTATTGAAATTTGGTTTAATTAAAACTTTTCTGGATCAAGTTATATAACTCCAAAACATATAGTGGTACATGTTTATGGTCTTGAATTTAAACTGTAGTACAGTTTAGGTTGGTGGTGAAAAAAAAAAAGGTTGTCAACAAGCCAAGCTCTAAGACAGGACAACAGCTGTGTTCTACAGTCAGCTCTTCGGATCTGGGAGAAACATCAGGTATATTCAAGTATGAGTTTGCTTGAAAGATAAGCCCAGGTTAATTCCAAACATTCAGACAACAAACAGCCCCTGTGTTCAGCTGGACATGGTAGGACTAATCTGATTATATGGATTAGACTACCACATTCTCTCTGAAAACAGAAGAGTCATAAATATCTCAGCAGGACAAATGAGACCTAGTGAGGCGGAACAGTGTGTCTACTCACACAGTCATTTGCTACAAAGCTGGGCAAGAAGCCAGGTTCTGGGGGCTTCCCATTCTCATATTCAAATCATAGCATTTCTAAATTGATTGTTGAACATTTTTATTAACCAGAACCTAAACATTTGAAGTGCTTTTTAAATGCATTTGTGAGTTTTTTCATACTCCTCCCTCCAAAAAGATCGAGTCTAAGAATTGTCCCTCTAAGAGCAGGCTAGACTCAGTGAATTATGTCTAGGGGATGGCACGGGGAAGAATACTGATGAGCTGTGAGGTTACTGATGGTGTCACAGTCCCTGCCTTAGTCTCTTCTGGAACCCTTGCTTTGTGCAAAGCCAGCCACCATAACAGGAGAATTTCCAGGCCACCCCTTGAAGAGCTCAGTCTGGTAAGGAACTAAGGCCTTCCCCAACCTTCAGTGAGCTCTGAAACCACTCCTTGAGCCGTGCAAGTGGACTGAGAGCCAACACTGCAGTCCCAGTCAGAAGACCACAGCCAGAGGGGAGAGCCCAGGCCAAGACCACCAGGCTAGCCTCCTGAATTCCTGACCTGCAGAAACTAAGATAATAAATACCTATTGATTTAGCCAACTAAGATCTGAGGTATTTTTTTTACACAGGATAAATATTAAAACAGCTTATCACAATGCAAATTCAGTCCTTCAAGAAATACCTTATTTCTTCAGGCTTCATTTAATATACAACATCAAGAAGTCTTCCTTCTTAGTCTTGACTCAGAGATTAAATTCTCTGACATAAATTGAAATTTTACTCAAAGCACAGGCATATTTTACGAAGTCTGAGTATGACACAAAACTGCTTTGGAAAACACGCATTGGACCTGACAAGCAATGGCTTCCCTCTCTAAATGTTTCAGTTTCTCTGCATAATCAGGAAAGGGGACCCTGTCTTATTCATCTGATTCATCCTAGGACACAGAATACAGTTCTCCAACTTTTATGTTTCCTCAGAGCTATGGTGGGAATAACCAGGAGAACTTTACTCATGAGATTCCTCACCTGGATGAAAGATCTCAGAAATGCCATGGAGTCCATGCACACAAACCTGGTTGTTTTAGGGTCGTGGTGCTGACCTGTAGCTCCTGTGATGTGCTAGCACCCTCTCTGTTGGTGCATGAGCCAAATATGAGTGGTTTTCCCTAAACTAAAACCTCAGTGTGCAGGTTTAACTGTGATGTTGGTATTATGTAATAACTAAGTATGTTTGATGCCGCAGTTTGACATCAGTCTCTAAGAGGTTTGTCATCACTGTTCTAAGGTGTTTATTAGACCCAGAGACAGTGATAGAGTCCCAGGCTAACATGGCACCTCCCAGAAGTTAGCCAAGTACATCAGACTAATTTACAAGCTTATTAATTTTCAAGGGAGAAAGCAAATTAATATCCCCTTGTGGCACTAATAAAGATACAAAATTCTTACATTCTTTAAATCACTCTTCCATAGCAGACCCTGTAGTGTATTTTTTGCCACAATCCTGAATAAAGCAGTGAAATTCTATTCTATAATATTTAACGTCATAATAAGTAGGTGCTGACAGTTCATCAGAGCTCACCTTTTTCTGCTGTTATTGCCTTATAATCTTAAGTACAGGCAGCTGTTCTCCCCACTCATCAACTGGAGTAACTTCTGGGATCACTCTCTCCAGTGAGAAGGAAATGATGCTTCTCTCTCCTCCCAGGTGAGAGTGTGGAAGAAAACGCCAGTGTTGTGGTCAAGCTGCTCATCAGACGCCCGGAGTGCTTCGGCCCGGCGCTGCGAGGCGAAGGAGGAAACGGCCTGTTGGCAGCCATGCAGGGGGCCATCAAGATCTCGGAGAACCCAGCGCTGGACCTCCCTTCTCAGGGATATAAGAGAGCAGTGTAAGTGTGAGCAGCTGTCTCCTAGGCAGCTGGGTGGGCTCCCAAATAGTGCTGGGTGAGCTCCCAAATAGTGCTGGGTGAGCTCCCAAATAGTGATTAAGGAGGCATCAATAGCTTCCTCCAATAGCATAGATTTTTCCTTTTTAATGGTTGTTGAAACATTTAGTCACTTTGTCGGGGCTAGGGAGATGGCTCAGTGGAATAAGTGCTTGCTGGCAAGCACAAGGACCTGAGTTCAATCCCTGGTTCTGCAATAAAATAAAATCACTTTGTCAAGCACATTGCTATCTTGACTCTTCAAATGAGCTGAGCAACAGTGTCTCTGCTGTCTTCATTTGCCTACTCCACTCAGTCCAGGTAGCAGGGCACCGGGGCATTGAACCCTCCTGGCCTCCATGGCAACATCCATAGCATCGCCACTCCAGTGTCACCCCTGGAGGAAACTGCAGAGGCTAAAAGACCAGAGCCAAGAGGACAGCCCTTGTCATCCCCAGCTCACTTCCTTCCATCTTTTAATCTGTGGTGTCAAATCCTGCACCTCACTTTTAAAAAAGTAATGTCCTCCACTTCTTCCTGAGAAAGTCCTCAGGAAAGTATTGGGGTTTGATTCCTTAATAGAGAAAAAAAATGTGGATTTTTTGAAAAGTCATGGCTTTAATAATCTTGGTAATTAAAAACTAAAGGTGTAGTTGGTAGATAAGCTGATTGTCTATCTCATTACTTTATCACACCCCATGATCAGTTCCTTTTTCCTAGCCTCTACATTAGACCCTCTACAGAATGTATCTTGCCCAGCACAGGTAGCTTTCCAGGCTACTGGCTTTTTCTTTGTCATTAGCTATGGTAGCTGACCCAATAGACTAGAAAGAACCCAAACCACATGATGCTCCAGATTCCTCATGTAAAATGAGAAAAAATGAAGGTCACGATGATAGCCCCTCCGCAGCACAGCTGGGGCACAGACTTAGTGCACCCAAGTCCATGTCCATTGTGGCCTCCATGTAGATTCAGACAGGGAATAAAGTAAGAAGTGTCCAGACTCAAGCCTTACAGTTCATAGCATTCTGGAGATATCAAGACAAATATTTGGATCCTTTGAGCTTGATGAATAAAGCTACCTATCCACCTTCTGCGAAGAGACATTCCAAGGGAATGCTTATATGATGCTCATGAACAACAGGGTAATTGTTTCTCTCTTGAGTGACACTTTTCTAATAGCATGGCAGGCCTGCTAGGCCTCACACCTCCCTTGTGTTGATTCTCTCTCTCTGCAGCACAGAGGACCACGAAGAGGAAGAAGAGATAGTGTACATGGGCAATGCGATTATGTCATTTTATTCAGCTCTTATAGATCTCCTGGGCCGCTGTGCTCCTGAAATGCATGTAAGTGATAGATGTGCCAGAAAGCATCTTTGGGAAACACTGTCAATGTCTTGAACACAGTTTCTTTTCCTGTACCTGGCATTTGCCAGCATGCCTTTCTCTGGATTATATAACACTGAAGTATTTTCTATCTCTAACACCCAACAGTACAGCTTTCTAAAGAAGGACTTGTGCCGGGATCATGATATGTATGATTTCTCTGTGGCATTAATTGAGCATATACTCTACACATTTTGTTACCATCACTTCCCAAAATTATGTTTTATGTCCCTCAGTTTTGTCACAAGGGGACCAATTTGATTCTCACTCTTGGCCATCCTGAGTGACCTCACAGGGTCCAAGAGCATCATGAGGATGCTGTAATGTAGAAAATCCTCTTCTTGGTGGCTGTGACACTCGGATCCAAGAAGGCAGTCTCTCACCAGGGTTCCTATCAAATTGGTTTCCTGAGATAGAGGTTTTCACAGATGCATAGGAATGGCTCTGTTTCATGGGATACCTTCTTGGATTCCCAGTGTTGCCTAAAACGTGTGTCCATTCCCTTTCTTTCATCCATGCTGAGGCCTTGAAGAGATGGCCTTTTTTCATATAAAATCTCCTTTGTAAGTGAGAGAAGAAATACAATTATTTGTGTGAAAAGAAAATCTGAATCTTAGAAAAGGAAGACGCACAGAATTCTTAGGATTCTGTTTCCTATAGTAGTACACCCCTCTCCACCTGACCCTGGCTGTCTACTCCTGTGTCTTCTAGAAACAACCAGGGAAACAGCAGGGTGAGCTGCACCCTTGGGAAGAGAAGTGTCGGAAGGCACGACATGTTCGAACTCTAGCTCCAATCAGCTCTCCACACTTCCTGACTTAGTCTCATAAAGGCAGAATGGAATGGCTAGGCCTTCAGAACCCACCAGGGAAGGACTTCCTGCCTGCTTTCCACTCTGCTCCCAACACTTTACCTACACACACACACACACACACACACACACACACACCCCACTCTCTAGCCCCTACTCTGTCAGTAGTGGGAGAAAAAGGAAGGTGCTGGCCTCGCTAACAGCTTCCTGTACTCTCACAGAGAAAGGAGGTGCAGCCAGAGTAGGTAGATAGGGTTCTCCTTTCTCTGAAGCCACCTGGCACCATGGTCCAGGACATCACCAGCCCACGGGGCACAGACCCTGCCCTGAATCCCCGGCAGCTGTGTTCCTAGTAGTGGACCCTGTCCACACTGCAGAGACCACAGGGAGATGTCTGTGCACTGGACATGCTGCCTAGCATATGAGGGTCTGTGCAGACCGGGTTATCTACCGCAGGGTATCTCCACTGAGAGGCTCGGGTTCTGTTGACATTCTCAGTACCTCTATTGGCACCTAGCATTAATCAAACTCTTTGGAAACTGAAAAGCCTAAACCATTTCTACATTTACTAGAACTCTGGAGTCCAGCACTGTGGCCACATTGTCAACACTTCTGCTAGCACACCCATGAGCACTCCCAGTTGCACTGTGAAAGAAAGCCAACCACAGGCAGCAGATCTGCCACTCAGACTTGATACCTGAACTGATGGCCATTCAACCACAGCAAAGAAATCCAACAGCCCTTCACTGGTTGTTCCCTCAGTAACAGATCTTCTGGAAGATGAAGAGAGCTCCCTTCTCTGTGGCCACAGATGTCTCTGGCAGCTAGAGGAACACAGAGGTGTACTCCTGCCCCTACAGAGAACCATTATACTGCCAGAGGATTGGAGACAGGGTGGAATGGCAGTTCAGGGACTTCATCTGTGTAATCCCTTCTCCAACTACGCATTGCAGCTCATCCAGACAGGAAAAGGGGAGGCCATCCGGATCCGGTCCATCCTGCGCTCGCTGGTCCCCACTGAGGACCTGGTTGGGATCATCAGCATCCCCCTGAAACTGCCTTCCCTCAACAAAGGTAGGGGATCACCTACAGGCTGGAGCCACCCCAGGGCAGCACCCCGGGTGCCCACTTGCAAGGTAGGCTGCCCAGGGAGAATGTCTTGCTCTCTTTCCCGTAATGAGGAGCTCTCTCCTCTGTGCTCCAGCTGGTGCTGCTCTTGTCTGCAACATTCCTGTGTCAAGGTGACTAAACCCTTACCCAACAGGGACAAGTGCACTTCTCCATCTACCCCTGCAAAGCAGGTGCACAGAATGGAGAAAATGAAACCTCTCATGATGGCCTTCCTTCTTCCCTTGCCTCTCTGGACCTTAGGTGGTGGCAGCAGCTGGGGCAGCAGTCAGGCAGGCTGTCTCTGCCACAGTCAGAACACCTCACAGCTCAGGGCCGTGAAGGATTTCTTCCCAAATGCTGCATGTAACATTTGACATCCATCATCTTTGTGAAACTCTCCCAAAAGTACAGTACTGTTTCTCTAAGTTATTCTACCTGCTCTTGGGGCAGATGGAAGAATTGAAAAGATGGCATGGCTCTAGACTGGTTGTGCTGTTTAATGAAAGTGTTTAATGAAACATTTTTTTGCAATGATAAGAGGTTTGGAGTCAGATAAATTTAGGAATACATTGCATTTTCTAACCTCATAAAGCATAGCAAGATTGTAATTTCTCTGAGAAAACTAATGATAACACGCAAATGTTGAGCTCAATGTTTTCTGAACATGTAATGGGATTTTTAGCACAAAGCACTCGTTAATATCCCACAAGAAGTATGCTCGTTGGTGTTTCAAACGCCCAGAACACTTAAGCAATGCCAGCCTGTACCAGTCAGCTCTAGCACCCTCTCCTGGTTAGAGAGGGAGATGCCAGCAGCTGCTGCCTTCTCTCCTGCCTTGAGAAGGCTCCAGGCTGGTTTGTGGGCTGAGGCACTTACACTTCATAATTCCCAGGGTGCCTTAGAAGGTCCTTCACTTTTCCAGTACAATGGTCACATATTCTGTGACTGTGCTTGGTCCCTTGGGGGCTCTGTTTTCTAAATCTTTGGTGCAGGCTTGGAAATAGCTCGGCAGTCTAAGTACCTACTTGGCAAGCACAAGGACTCAGGTTCCATTCTGGATGTCGCATGCTGTGTCAGCCCTGCCAAGCCAACCACCGAGACCCAGGGTGGTGGCACGCACCTGCAATCCCAGCACTATAAGTACCTCCTAAATCTGGCCATTGTTTTCAAACACTGAAAAGTTTTTTGTTTTTTTTTTTTTTTTTTTTTTTTATGGTGTATTGGCTTTAGAAGGTGAAGCATGCTAGTCAATGTGACCTGCCTTCACAACATTTATCACCTATTTCTGTCTTCAGTCAACTGAGCAATAAATCAAGCCTGGATTCTTAGCAGTCACCTACTTCTGTGATGTGCATGCCTCATTGAGGCCAAAGCTGCCAGTATATGAACACTGGATGTGGAGTTGGAATGAGACCATGTCTGGCACAGCATCACATTGTGTTTCTAACACAGATGTGCAGTAGAGGACTAACCTTAAGAGTAGAGTTTACTGGAGTCTGGAGAGATAGCTCAGTAGTCTAAGTGCCTGCCTGGCAAGCTCAAGAACCCAGGTTCGATCCTCAGTACCGCATGCCATGCCAATCACTGAAACTGAGAGTGGTGGTACACTCCTATAATCCCAGTGCTGGGCAGGCTGAGACAGGAGGATCACTACAAGTCCGAGCTGCATAGCAAGACCCTATACCAAATAGGGGTTGTGTGTGTGTGTGTTATTTTAAGAAAAAGAATAGGGTATATTGTAAAAGTGTTAGGAAGCAATTAGTGATAAGTATTTGTTACCTTTTTAAGTGTGATTCACTTACATTGTAAATTCAAAATTTTAAATAATGGATACACTTAATAACTGACTCACGCATTCCTGAATTCTTTTCAATTGGCACTTGTATCCAGAATAAGCTGGCTCCGGAAGAATGCTGTTGTTCCCAGAATTCCTGTTGTTTATTAGAACAAGCCACAGATTGGAAGTGTGGTGTGTTGCATTTTTGAGACTGTGGAGATAGCAAAAGGAAATGACACTCTCTGCCTTTCAGATGGGTCAGTCAGCAAGCCCGATATGGCGGCCAACTTCTGCCCTGACCACAAGGCCCCCATGGTGCTATTTTTGGACCGCGTTTATGGCATTAAGGATCAAACTTTTCTGCTTCATTTGCTGGAGGTTGGATTTTTACCTGACCTGAGAGCCTCTGCCTCTTTAGACACAGTAAGTTGCTAAAGTGGGAGGAAAGAAGTCTACTCCCCACACTGTAAAATTAGTAGATTGGACTATAATATTTTCTACCTATTGACTACATTTTAGTAGCCTGCTTTCAACAGTGAGAAAACAGTGGCACCAAGAAATGGAAGATCTTAGTTTATTGTGGTCAGGAATTTCCATATAGGTACAAGACAAATGACTTCCAATATTTGATTCAGCTCCTTCAATTACAGTTTTTCAGCCGCCTCCCCCCAGTATTTGCAGGCAGAGGCTTCCGGTTCACTCAGAATGCTTTGCAGCATCCCTGGCCTCTATCCACCAGATTCCAGTGGCATTCTTAGTGTCCTACTCCCAAGCCCAACAAAACCAATTCCAGATATCACCAGATGTCCTCATGTGAGAATCTGGCTGCGCTGCTTCTGGAAAAAGATGACAAGCAACACTTCAGGATGGAAATCCTCTTTCTATTTTCACCTCTGGAGTTCATGTTTTGACCATCGGAAAGGACAGGTCTGAACCGAGGAGCATGCCAAAGTTCAGTCCCAGAGTCCAGTGGCAAATGCATAGAAATCAAGGCTGAAGGAAAGTACGGTAATACAGCGTCAACAGGCATTGAGGCAGGAGAGTTTAGGAGTTAAAAAAAAGAAATCTGCTGCCATCAGAACTAAGCAGAAAAATAGTGTACCAGGAGTTCTGAGTCTGAGAAGGAAAGATAAGCTAGATCAGTTTAGTTCTAAAACCCACCATTCCAGCTCAGGGTTTTAGTTAAAAATTGATTAGCGCTTATACCTGGCATTGAGCCTCTGAAGCACGAGCTCCGTGGTGGTTGCTCAGCAGCCAAACCTTACCCGAGACGATTCCATGACGAAGTCGCCCAGAAGTGGCAACCAGTCTGCCCCCCAGCCCTGCTGGGCTCTCCCCTGGACAGCTTGCTGTGGTGCGTAGGTGGGAATGCTGCAGCCACGGGGGAATGAGGGGCACGCGACCCTCTTGGAAGATTAAAGCAATGCATCCACCACTGATTTTATATTCAGCTTTTCTACAAATTTCCTTGATTTAAAAAAATAATATTTTGGACTGGGGAGATAGCTCATCTGTCTAAGCACCCACCTGGCAAACACAAGGACCTGGGTTCAATCCCAGTACTGCATGCCATGCCAGCCCTGGCTCCAAAACTGGGCATGGTGGTGCACACCTGTAATCCCAGCGTGGAAGATCACTCCAAGTCCAAGCTGCATAGTGAGACCCTGTACCAAATGAAGATAAATAAATAAATAAATGATTTTTTAAGAATAAATCCTTTTAAAAAATGAAATAAATAATGTTTTTAACTTTGAGGACCTCCCCAAGTTTCCTGTTAAGGCGTTTAATTTTTCACAGACTGAATAAACAGAAAATGCTATTTTAGCAGCTGGTATTCAAGCTCATGCTTTTCCAAGCACCATCTGCAACAAAAAGGTTTTATATTCCGTCCCGCAGCACACACATATTCATGCATTCTCATTTCAAAACTTTTAAGCCACTAGAATCAAAGCTCTGTTTTCCTCATTTTAGCAGCATTGTCTATGAAAGTGATAAATGTAAAACATGAGCTATTTCTTCCAGCATGATTAACAAAGCATCTAGAAGACAAACTTGATAATTAATAGGAACACAGAACAGAATGTTTATAGTTCAAAGAAAACTGCTTTCCAAATCACAAGTTGGAGAAAATGTGCTACAGATACAGTGGCTGCAGTCATCACAGGAAATGATACTATCTTATCTCTGTGGATCCCAAGTCTCTTCTGAAGTTCTGTGGTTTTCAAGATGGTAGCTAATCACACGTTGGCTATATATAGTGCGCTAAATGGGTCTTCCCTTGAGTTCAGCCTGTCCATCTAAAGAAACAAAAGAGAATGCTGTGAGCAAGATTTATGGCAGAGTTTTAGAAAAGGCCATTGAGCTGCAGAACTCTTGTACTTTTCCTCATATATTTTTCCCATGTGGATTTAGGTTTCTTTTAGTGAGAAGTATCCACCCTCAAGATGGTCATCAGGTTGTAGTCTGCTCAGATATTCATAAGTTACCTGGAGAGCATCACAGCTCTACTTTCTCTTAGTCAAGCCAGAGAATTTGAGAAGGTGCTTAACCTGTAAACACTTTCTGATCTTCAGATCACACAAGGGCAAAATGTGAGTCCCCGTAGGCTGCGACATGAGAGCTAAAGCTGGAATAATAATGTTTAACCCCACAGCTGCACTTGCAAGCATCAGGGGTGTTAGGTTAAACTGACCATGACCTGCATGCAGCAAGGGTTTACAATTGGCCTTTGAGAGAAGCATGTTTATGGGGTCATTTGGGATTCAGTGAGCTTTTGCTCTTCGCTTTTTTATGGTTTTTATTTTTTCTTTCACATTTTTAAAATGCAAAAGGAAAAAGGCCTACTGACCAAGTAGAAAGGTATTTACACTGTTGCTCTGAAACACAAATCGGCCTGAAAAATGTCAGCCTCCCTGAACTCTGGCATGGAAGCTCGGTATACCAGGCAGTCTTTATCGCTTTCTGAGAAGTTAATAAACACTGTGGTTCCCCTTCCTAGGTGGCCCTCAGCACCACAGAGGCTGCGCTGGCACTCAACAGGTACATATGCTCTGCAGTGCTCCCGCTCCTCACAAGATGTGCCCCCCTCTTTGCCAGCACAGAGCACTGCACCTCTCTGATTGATTCCACGCTGCAGACCATATACAGGCTTTCCAAGGGACGCTCCCTCACCAAAGCACAGAGGGATACCATAGAGGAATGTTTGCTTGCCATTTGCAAGTAAGTACCCATCTCTGGGCTCTGCGTACATGTCCATGCCAAATACACTTAATCACCTAAACACTAGTGGTCAGTACAAGGCAGCTACCAGCCCTTCGCCATGCAACAGCCCTCTCCAAGTCCCTCCTCCTGGGATGTGCTTGGTATCTTTTTTGGCACAAATTCTTTCTGCAGGATGGAGGAGGGCGAGTTCTGGCTTTAGTGCACAAAGATGGCAGATCAGGGGCAGACTGTGCTGCACATGCACTCTGATTATTAAATAACCATTGAGTGCCCCCAGATAAAGCCAGAGCACATGAGTTCATTCTCCAAAAGAGAAGACTTTCTAGATCTTCCTCTCAGTATTTGTTCTCAGTATAAAACTGCTCTCATAGAGCTGAGGAGATAGCTCAGTGGCATAAGTGCCTGCCTGGTAAACACTAGGTCCTGAGTTCAATCCCTGGTACCAAACAAAAAAAAAAGAAAATGTTTTCACCTTTGCCATTTCAAAAAGAAGATAATTACCCTGTTACTTATTTACTGCATATGGGCCTCTCCATTCTTCCTCAGCATAGCAAAATTTATCCAAAAAGAAACTCTTCCTATCAACATCAAGTCTGAAATCAGCTGGTAACTGCTTCAGGAACAGTTGCAGATCATGACATTCTGCCTTTTGTTAGTTACAAACTCAGCATGTTTCTTAGGCACTACGCCAACCAGGGAGTTCTACTTCCCTATGCGAGCTGTTTCCTAGTCCAAAATCATGCTGTTGAAACAACTGTATCTGGCCTGTAAATATTTGCAAAGCAATCAGACTTTGAGTAAATTGTAAGTTCATATTGAACTTAAAATATTGCCCTTACTCCTGTACTTTTCTGGCTGGGCACCCTTCTTCCCAGCCACACTGGAGATAGAGCAAAGTTATACTTAACCTAGCTATGGGTTGTTTATCTTTAAAAGTCAGGAATCTGTAGGATACACAGATTTTTGCACTTTTTAATGTAGTTGAAGTTAGTTGATTTTAGGTGAGCTCTGCTAAATACCTGAATAATAATGTGAGGCATTGAGCAATTTTACATCATAATCACTAGATTCACGGATGAAGCTACTCAGGACATACTGTAAGGAACCTTCTCAGCCCAGGGCTTTTCATCCCAGGACTAGCTCCAGGAAAAGTTGTGAAACAGAGGAGCTCTGTCGCCCATTTCCATCAGCGTTCATCTTCCTTGTTGTAGATGCTTCAGGGATTTACTTCCTGGCATCCCTCCTTGCTGTTGGACTTATTGCCTCAACCCATGGTTTCCTAGGCCTCTGAGGAGGGAGTCCAGGGGTTCCAAGACTAAACTCACATAAAACATTGTCTGAGCAGCAGGGCATGTGATTTCTCTCTAGGGAGAACCCACAGACTCCATGGGGCTTTCAACAGACGTAGCAACCTGCAAATACAAGTTAATGACTGCCACTTCTCTCTCCTTCTTTGCCTCAGAATTACCTTGCACCAAATGTGACGGCCATGAACTCTGTAATTTAATCCAGTATTCTTTTATTAATTATGGTGAGAACAAAGCTATAACCCAAAGAAATATCTCCAAAAGTGAGCATTTCCTGAACCAGCTTATAATTTGGCTGCTTTAGGGTTCACATCAAGCCTCACACCAGTAGGTGGCCTCAGACTCCACCATTCAGGCTGGCCAGCCCCAGCTTCTCTTGTAGAATGTTGATCCGTAGAGACAGCTGTGCAATTAGCTATACCATCGTTCCATAATATCCTTTGTACATAATCACTAAATACATATTTAAGTATGCATAGAGTTAGAACCTTTTTCATAAATGTTGACTGGAATTTAACCCTAAGTATCCCAACCCATTAGCACATGTCTTTCTTTCTGAATTTTAACTATACTCCATTTTTCATGTGTTTTACCACCCGCAGTTTATCCAAGACCTTGTATCTAGGACCTAAGTGTCTTGGGCCTAAGCAGGGTTACTCTTGCAAACCTTCTGCATTCTTCCCTCCTCTGTCCTACCTTATTTATTTTTCTTTGCTCTTTCTCTTACTCCCTGCCACAGTCACCTGAGACCTTCCATGTTACAGCAGCTCCTGCGACGTCTGGTTTTTGATGTACCACAACTGAATGAATACTGCAAAATGCCTCTGAAGGTAAAGCCCGCCCTGCCGCAGATGTGCACTCCTCGGCACAGGCAGCATGCTCGGGCTGCTTTGATTTTGTCACAATATGGTGAGCTCACTGCAGGACAAAGGAGTCATACTCCCTTAAATTGACAGCTGGTGCAATCCACAAAACCAAACCGTTCTTAAGGCCCAGTTTCAAGAGATATTTGTTATACTCACTCAGGGCTTTAATGTTCTTTCATTGCTTTTCATTGGCTACCAATTTTTAGCAGAAGTTGGTGAAGGGCTTGCATTTTACACCTTCCTTGCTTAATTAGGCTTTTGGAAGATTTTCAATACCAATAGCTCATGGTGGTGTACATCTTATAATCGCAGCATTCAGGAGGGAGGTTGAGACAGGAGGATCACTGTGAATTCGAGTCCATTCTCCCCTACATAGTGAGGATCTGCCTCAAAAAAATACTAAAAAGTTCAAAAAGCTTTGAAAGACCTGTGATTTATCAGTTGAAAAGGATAAAATGCCCCCATTTCTATATTGTTTTGTGCTTTATTCTTGCTTTGTAACAAATCCTTTTTCCTCTATTTTGTCTCTTTTGTCAGAGCACAGAATCTAGTTATTATTTACTCATTCCTGATTATCTCATAATTCATTAATATCTTATCCCATCACCAGGAACATGTGTCCAAGTAGTGGCAGAATTAGGTGTCCACCAGGTGGACAATGTTCTTATTTTCACTCTGAGGCATTGTCATACTTGTATACCCAGAAGTGTCCTGAAAATCCTGGCCAGTGGCTTTAATAGAACTTTTTCTTTTCTCAGACATGGTTCAGTTAAAACCTAAGGTAGCACTTAGTTGCAACAACAAAACTTCCAAGAGGTCTTTCACTCAGTGCCCTGTGTCCAGGCCAAGAAGAAAGCAGAATGTATAACATCGGAGGTTCTGTAGTCCTCCAAGGCCTAAGTCTTCTCTTTAATCATAATCTAGGCCCAGTTTTAATCTCAAAAAAGTACTTAGGTGAAAATCATAGTTTACACAGCTTTGTTTTCTGTAGAGGCTTCTACTACCAGCTGGATGCTGGCTTATAAGAGGGATTATTAATACCAGTTAATTTACTTTTACATTTCTCGCCAATGGGATTTTTCTTAGAGAATGTGGCTGGAGCCCACCAGCTGGGAACAGATCATTGCCTGTGTATTTCTGCCCTCTACTGGCCACATAGGAAACGGCTATAACTTCAGAAGGCTGGAGAAAGGCAAGGAAACCTTGGGTAGTGATCAATGTAGAGAAAATCTCCAGACCTACAGCTTGCTACCCATCATACACTTCCATACCAAATCAGTATCCCTCAGAACTTTCCAGAATCATCAACAAAGGTCTCATAAGAAATTCCCACAGCTGAGTGGCTAGAACAGCGCACAATGACTGCTTTCTGAGGGTAGCAACTTCACATCTGCGGTAGAAACAGCTCTTCTCTGTTTTCTGGTAGCTACTAGAAGCATATCAAGAGACTCAAAAATTAATCAGGCAGTTGCAGCTTAAGCTAGAGCTCCTTAGTGCAAGAGCAAACCCTTCCCAAAGGATCATTTTGCAGGCAGCCCAACTGTCTCTCCTATTGGTTTCATTCTCATGATCTCCAAATACTATTTTATTCTCCCCTGCATGTTTTTGATGCCTGTGGATTTCCTCCATCCTACCCCTGGTGCAATCGTGTTCTGCACATCCCAGCTCCTGACGAATCACTATGAGCAGTGCTGGAAGTATTACTGTCTGCCTTCAGGATGGGGGAGCTATGGGCTGGCTGTGGAGGAGGAGTTGCACCTCACAGAGAAGCTCTTCTGGGGGATTTTTGACTCCCTCTCCCATAAGGTAATGATGGTGTTTCCCAAACAAAAAGAAAAACTTCAGTGAGCCACGAACATAAGAATAATGATGACTGGCATCTCTTAAGCTTTGCCGTATGCTGGAAACTGTGCTAAGTACTTCACAAGTACATTACCTGAATCCGTACCCACAACTGTCTAAAAAGAACCTACAGTCAATCTTCATTTTACAGGTGGAGAAGATCTTAGAGCAGAGTCACTTGGCAGGTTCTCAAAGCTACTACAAGGGAGAACAGTCACCCAAATAAGTTGAACCATATGTCTTGCTTCTAGTCTTGATGATGTACCTCCCTGTCCTTTCCCCTTGGACTTGGCAAAGTCCCTGTGAGCCAGGCTTGTCTAAAGTCCTGGCATCTGCTTGGCTGGTGAGCAAAGTGATGTTCAGGAGACCTGAAGCCGTTCTGTGAAGGTACTTCCTAGATGCTCATTTAAAGACAAGCTTGAGAGGGAACTCAGATCCTCTGGCCTCCAAGCCTTATGGGACAGCCTGATAGAAACAGCTCTGACTCTCAGATCTTACTCTGCTGTCCAATACATTTAGCTTCCTTGGGTCAGCAGATTCAGTGGTAGAAAATGAGTGGATCTGGTTTTCTTAGAAAATTCTGGAGCATCTATATAGCTTGTTCACATGCACTTCAATTTTCTTTACTTCTGGTTTTTGTTGTTGTTGTTGTTTACTATAAGTAGATCAGAAACTTTCTAAATCCATGTTACAGAACATGACAGATATTCATTCCTGGCTGGGTTCAGGAGAGAATGAGGGTGATACTGAGCAGACCGCCTGGACATCCACCTATGACTCATATCAGCTACTATGGTTGGGTCAGTTGCTGTAGTCATCCATGGAAAACAAGTTTATATGACTCATTAGATCATATATATTCTTGATACTAACTATTTTGGAGATGTTAGTGTAAACCTAGAGGATTTTGTACACAGTCATTTCATTCTCCAAGAATACCTCACTTTCCAGCAGAGAGTACTCAAGGGATTACAGGTTCCCTGTTTTGGCTGGTCTGGACAAATGCATGTTATGCTTTAATTCCCAGCTAATCAGTGAATGGGCCAGCCTGATAGCCATTGTTCTAGCTTCTCTACTGAGGTAGTCTGTTCTCTCTTGCAGAAATATGACCCAGACCTGTTCCGAATGGCCTTGCCTTGTCTCAGTGCTATTGCTGGGGCCTTGCCACCGGATTATTTGGATACCAGAATCACAGCCACACTGGAGAAACAGGTTTCTGTGGATTCAGATGGCAACTTTGACCCCAAACCCATCAACACAATGAAGTGAGTCCGGATAATCTCTAAGCTGGTCCTTTTTCCATTACCCAGCATTCTCTCTTTGAGAATATAGCAAGAAATCTAAGCTTCTCCGTACTGGGCTGGCAAGATAGACCAAGGGCCTGCTTAGGCAAGCACAGAGATGGAGGTTAGATCCTCAGCACCATATGCCATGGCAGCCCAGTCCCCAGATGTGTTAAAGTGGCCACAGAGTCCAGGCATGGTGGTGCAGCCCTGTAATCCCAGTGCTAGAGAGGCTGAAAAGAGGAGGGTCACCATGAGTCTGAGATGCATAGTGAGACCCTGTAACAAATACATTTTAAAAAAGAGAAAGAGAGAGAGAAAGGCTGGCCAGATAGCTCAGTGGACTAAAGCACTGCTTAAGCAGAGCTCAGTGGCTGAGATTTGATCCCCTATGTGCTATACTAGCCCCGCCCCCAGGGCATGCTGAGACTCTGAGATTGGGTGTGGTGGTGCACACCTATAATCCCAGTGCTTGGGAGGCTGAAAGCAGGAAGATCACTATAAGTTTGATCTGTGTAGTGAGACCCTGTAGACCCTGCACTAAATACAGAGAGAGAGAGAGAGAGAGAGAGAGAGAGAGAGAGAGAGAGATCATCAAATAAATGTCGCCTGAGGCATTGAAAGAATCACTCTGACAAATGATGCAGTTAATTTATTAATGAGGTCTTTTGACAGAATTTTTGCTCTTTGTGAATTAGAACTGTATAGCTCTAAAAACTTTGTACATCAAAATCAGTTCCACAACTGTGTATCTGTGACATAGTCCTGGCAGTGCCACTCCTCCTGCTCAGCAGTGGCACCACATCTGGAGTGGCTTCCACTTCAGGTTAGCTGGGGGCTTGAGTCCAGCTTCTGACAGCTGGTCACTAGTTCTATCCTCCTCTTACCACACCTGACCAAAATCTGCCCATGTTCGGGGAAGTTGTAATTTTTTTCCGTGTTTTGCAGTTTTTCTTTGCCTGAAAAATTGGAATATATTGTCACCAAGTATGCTGAGCATTCACATGATAAATGGGCCTGTGACAAGGTAGGGATTATCGTCCAATTGACAATTGTCAAGGGGAAAAAACCAGCCCCAGAACATTAAGGGGTCCAATTCTGGAAATCTGCCTGCTTTGTCTAAGTGACAGCCTCGCCATGCCAAGAGCATTCATTATTTCTGAGCAGCAGTTTCCCTGGGGTTGGTGGAGGCTGGAGAAATTCGCAGCTGCAGCTGCTGATACTGCTTTTGCGTTTCTCAAGAAAACGTTCAGTTCTGAAAGTGGTAACTTCTTTTGTAACATTGTGCTTCCTTGAGTTCAAGGCTCAAGTTTGTGCTTGCATGTATTTAACTTAAATGCTTAGTGAAGGTAGAGCGGCTTTATTTTATTTCTTTGAATGTAGCATTGAAAAGGGAGAACTGAAATTGAATTTTCTCAGAAGCTAAAATTTTTAACAGGAAGAATTCACAAATCATCTTCCTGTGGCAGACACTACTAAAACTTCCCGATACTCCCTTATTAATAAGCTTGTCCATCTGGTGCTTAAAATTCCTCACCATGTGAGGTCAGGCTGTTTAATAAGTTTATTGCTTTGTCAGGTCTTTAATGCTGGCAGGCAAAGTGGGAAGACTGCCAAAGACACCCAGGATTTCCGTGGGCAGCTAGTGAAAGATTGGGGGCCTTGTTTAGCTTCAGCTCACAGCTTGTAAGGGTGGACCTATGTCCCTAGCAAGGCCACACAAAACCATCTTCCTATGGGAGGCCTGTGGATGGGGGACACCTTGTGCCACTAGCTCAGTCTGTGTATGGATCTGGGCTGAGCATTATTCCTCTCATGAAGGCCTTTTGGGGGCTGTTGGTAACAGCAATCACTGAACTGTATGGTGGCCTAATACCTTGTGATTGTAGCACAGTCTGGCAAAGCTTTCCTTTAAAGGGCCAGATAATAAGTAGTGGAGGCTCTATATGCCAGGCAGTGTCTGTGACGACTACACATTTCCATTCTCGTGACACAAAAGTAGCCATAGACAAAATACAGAAAAAAAAAAAAAAAAAAAAAAAAAAAAAAAAAAGAGGGGATCTGTGTTCCCATGAAACTTGAGAAGAAGAGTCAGTCAGCTGGACTTTCTCAAGGGCCGTTGTTTCCCAACCCTCACTCTAGCATCTGGTTTGTCCAAGAGTCTTTTCCATATGGCCCTGGCTAGCCCAGGAATGAAGAACACAGTGTCCTATGTGCCCATAGCAGCAGCTTATCTGTCCCTGAACTGTGTAGTTCCTGTCCTGCACCTCTCCGGAGCCTGTGTGGTTTCTTCACCACCATACCATGACTCCAGCTGCCATCATCTTTGTGCTGAGCCTTGTAATGTCCTTCTGACTGGCTCTTCAGGTGCTTTTTGTCCAGTCTGTCCTTCAGATCACTGCAAAAAGCTGTAGCTTCAATATGCAAATTTATTCACCTTTCTACTACTCCTCCTGCCCAGCCCATTCTTCTTATAAAATCCCTTAACAGCTTCTAACCCTTCTTAACATAAAAGTCAAATTCCTTCTTATGGCCTTGCGGGCTCTGTTCAATCTGACCTCTGGTATCAGCGCTCCCTCACCCTCTGGCTCCAGCCTCACCCCTCCCCCTTCCTGTGCCCACCCCTCTGTGTGCCTCAAACTGGCTTTGTCTGAGCCAGGTGCTTATGCCATTCACTAGCTCATGCCTTATTTCCTTCATAGCATTTTATAGCAGATAGGCATTTGCCCCAATTGTTAGCTTTTTCACACTCAACATTAAGTTTCACTGGAGCAAGGATATATGTTTGCTCACCACTGACAAGCAATCATTCATTAGCTAAGAAAAGAAAAACTATTTTCCTTGCCCTCAAGTACCTCACTGACTTATGCAAGAAACGCAATAAACTAGCCTCAGTAGGATGGGTGTTCCAGGCTGCTGCCGAAGGCCTGAGCAAGCCTAGGGCTAGAACACAGCAGTTCTTAATCCAGCCCTGGGGGCACGGGCACTTCCTGTAGCTGAGGATATCTACAGAATGTGCAAAAGCATGACAAGTTGTTTCTGGGAAGCAAGTCCACCAAAGGCCTTGGGGGGTCAGCAGGGACCAGAGAGAAGTTGGTGGCTTTAGGGAACCACAGATCAGAGAGCTGAAACATGCAATAGGGGAAGAAGAGGGAGGAATCTGGAGAGACTAAAAATAAGATAATCTCTTATTTTTAGTGTGAAGACAGTTTTATTTTTCTTGGAAAATCAACCCCAAAAATCCGTAAGTCCAAATTAGGACAACCAGACCAGCTCTGCAGGCCTCAGAGAGCTGGTCACCTTGTACTGCAGCCACAGATCCTTTGGAAAGACCACACCATTGTAACCATGAAAGGGAAGGCACTGATTCTATGGACAGCATTACTGTCCTGTTTAAGAGCTTTCCAGCCCCATATTCTCACTGTGTCCAACCTTATTTTCCTCTATGGTAGCTTAAAAATCATCTGTCAGTCTATTTTTATGTAAAAAAAAAAAAAAAAAGTCAAGGAAGTTAAAAAATTATATCCAACAGAGCTTTTGATCTAACCTCTTAGAAATGAGGTTCACAGTAATGTTAGTGAAACAGCTTTCTTCAGGAAAAACACAGTAGGATGTGTCCTTGAAGTGAGTGTGTTGAAAAGTAATCTTCTCAGTGGAAAGATGTCAATTCCTAGGGGGCAGACGTGAGAGGCGATCAAGATGATCAAGCATTCATAAATGAGGTAGAAATTGAGGTGGGATCAGTGGACAGAAGTGAGACAAAAGATAGCAAGGCCCAAGATCCAGTGTGTCTGTACCTATTGAAACTAATTCTTTATGTTTATTTGTACATATTTGCAGTTCATGTAGCTTATAGTTATCTTTGGCTGGTCACTTGTACATACTACAGCACGTTTCTTTCATTCCATTGGCTTCCCTCTCTTTCCCTCCCTCCTCCTTCAGGTCCCCTATCCTACTTTGCATTCCTGTTGACATCATTTGTTTTAGCTCATGTTGTAGCCAATGATGTTATAATAATTGCGGTTATTAGGTTCCTGTAATGGCATATTTTTATTCTACATATTTCCCCTTCCCTCCTCCTCACCCCACACTCATGTTTCCTAGGGCCACTTCCCTATCACAAGAGATCCATCCTCCTGCACCCCTCTATCCATGCTTTTCACTTTCTTTGTTTATACTTTGCCTCACTCAAATGAGAAACACCATATGTTGTAGCTCAAAAATCAAATGACAAGGAGGCAAGTCCAAAAGTTAAAAGAAGCGCCTTATTTTAGCTGGTACCCAGCGGCAACACCTAAGTGCCTAAGTGAGTGCCGAGCATTGACAAGGATCAGTATTTAAGCTTGAAAACTGGAAAAACAGGGAAGGGGAGGGGAGGAAAAAGTGGCAGGGTCATTAGTTCATAGGGTGGTCCTGTTGGGTGGGGGTGCTGAGTTGGCAGTTACAGAGTTCATTAAGATAAGAAAGTTTGGGGTACAGATGTCATAAGACTTGGGTCACAGGAGTGAGGAGTTGGGAGGGGTAGGCGCATACAGAACAGGAACCTGGTGAGGTTAGAAGGGCAACAAAATGGAGTCAATGTTGACAGGGTACAACACCATACAGTATTTAAGCTTGTGTGCTGGTTTATTTCACGCAATGCTTTTTTTTCAGGTGCATCCATTTTCCTACAAATGAGAAAAGACCGTCTGTATAGGCAGATATAGAGGGCATATAAAAGGGTTTTCCCATGATGGTAGCTGGCAGTTGAGTGCCCTGAGCAGGTGATTTTGTGACTATGACCTGAAAGTGTAGAAAATGACTCTGCGGAGAGGTGGCTAGACTACAACCAGGGAGACTGCTCAGGAGCCGCTGATGTAATCCAGATAAGAGGTGAGGTTAGCCAGAGCTGACAAACAGCAAGGAGACTAGAGAAAGGCAGACGCATGAGCAGACCTTAGAGTGGGAGGTGTGAAGAATACAGAGAGCAAGTGCCTACAAGGACACTGTGCTGCTGGGAGCCCAAGAGGAGGAAACACTGACACAAGTAAACTGTTGGGTCGTTTTTCAACACACTGGGCAGTTCCTGTAGGACATATAAGCAGAGCTTAAGTCAGTCTGGAAATGAGGAGAGAGCTCTAGTCTAGACATACTAACTTAACATTTGTCATTAATGGAACTGAAACTGTGGGCCTAGAGGTGACTGTTTCCTGAGAAGGGACAGAAACTTGGAAAATATGCTCATTTAACAAATGAGAAGTAGACAAGATGGAGAAAAAAGCAGCCAGGAGTGTGGGGGATGTGAGGCTCTAGAAATCTGGGGTGCCTACCTCGAGACTGCATATACCGTAGTCACCCAACCAATATCTGTTTGGTAACTTTTAAATTCTTAAATTTGTATGCCTGTAGGAAACAAGCACTGCTGAAGTTCTGCTCTGGAAGACGTAGACACGGGCACAAACTCGGCAGCCCACTGTGTGCAGTGGGCAGTAGGTCCACACCCTACATGCCTGTCAGCCCTGTCCCGTGTCTGCTCTGAGACTGACATACTAACCAAGACCCACTGTTTTCAGAGTCTTTTGAAACATCCTTAGAGTTTAAGTGGTCCTGAAGCACAAGTGAGAAAGTAGGAAGGACAGCACCCAGAACAAGAAGGAACAAAGGGGCAGAGGTCAGAATGCAGGAGACAGAGGCCCTGACAGGCTTAAAGGATCTGTTAGACATGTTTAAGGAGGAATTTCCAAGCTCTGTCATGATCCATTATTCCATGCACGAAATAGACCCAGGGATGTGGGTCACATGCCAGGGTCCTTTGAATGTGAAGGATATCTGAACTAAAAACATTCCTACAGAGTCAGAGTGGATGGAAATATGGAATTTCCCTGGATGAAAATGTGAAGACCCACCCACTAATAAGGCCTTTCAAGACATTAACAGAGAAGGTAAGAAGAGGCAGCCGGTGGTAAAGTAGTGTGGCCATGCTGATTCTGTCCTTGGGGCCTGTGCCGGATACTCAGAGGACTTTAGGGCAGTTCTTTAGAGACCTCTAGGATTCAGAGCACTGCTCCTGTGCTTGCCAGTGGGCAGCACCTACAGTCTCTAGGAATGTAGGAGAGACTTGGTCTGTTCTTTGGCTCTGAGAGCTCCTGGCAAAAGCAGCAGCACCATTCAGCACTGGGCCACACAAAATGCACCTGTAATTCTTCTAGAGTTCATTTGGTTTCTAGGGCAAAATAAGGAGACGGAGCAGGGAATTACTGGGAAAAATTCAGATAAGAATGATTTCTAATACATATAGAGAGTAGAAAGTCCCTATGGAAACATAAACAAATCTGTTGCATTTTTTTTTAATTAGGTAGTTTGGTTCATCTCAACTTTGAATTCCTACCTTGCAGTCAAAGTTCTTTGTAAGCTTTAGGCCTACCATCATGTATAAAGGACATCATATATGTCTTTTCTTGAATATCAGCCTTGTGAAATTGTGTATAGATCAAAAGAAAATCTTAAGTGTGAAGAAATCTATTTCCCAAGCTGAAACATCTTTTGTGCAGAGACATTTTAACAATGTCTCCCTTAAACAGTCCTGCTATTGCTCGTCTTTACATACAGAATGTGGATAATATCATCAATACAATGGAGAGTTGCTCTGAGAGCTAAAAGACTGAAGGCCTGGGATCTTATATGCAAAGTAGCATACTGAATATTGTAGGCAAGATGCATTTTGATCTTGTTAAAGAAGCCTAGATCTAACTAGAACCCTGTCCACTATGGGCTCCAACTTCCATGGAGAAATAGGCCATGGAGAATGTGGGTGTGTTCCATAAAGCTCTTCTGTGCCAATTTTCTTCCAGGAAAAAGAAATTTATCGTTGGCCTGCCAGAGAGTCTCTGAAAACCATGCTGGCTGTGGGCTGGACTGTGGAGAGGACCAAAGAGGGAGAAGCTTTAATTCAACAACGAGAAAATGAGAAACTTCGCAATGTGCCCCAGACCAGCCAGGTATGACAGCCATGCACAGAAGCCAGTACTGACTACATAAAACCATAGAGCATCTGGGAAGGCTTTTCATGGGGTACTGGGGAGACCAAGTCAGTGAGCCTTAGGCATTTGGAGAGATATAGCTAAAGTTGGGGTGCAGGGAAGAATTTTTAAAAAAAGCAACTGGCAAACCAAGTAACTCTGCTCTACTTTCCTAGGGCAATAGCTACAGCCCAGTGCCCCTTGACCTCTCAAACGTCGTGCTCTCCAGGGAGCTCCAGGTCAGTACTGGTACTTGCAGAGCAACCTAACTTGCTTTTTACACCCCTTCAAGTGAGTATATCACCTCACGAAGAGTTATAGAGAAGAGTGAGGAGGAGAAAGAACGTCCACAAAATGTCACTACCAAGATATCAAAGTTGGAGAGGGCCATATTATATAGAAGCCCTAGGAAAACCTCAGTCTCCATAGACTTAACCAGTGATCCAGTAAGGGGACTGTATGTTTCTTTGTAACAGAAGATGACTGTAATACCTTAAAATTGCTGTGTCAAAACCCAAAAATAAATAAATGAAAAACCTAGAAGAAAATCTGTGAAACTTGGCCCCTGAGTAAAGGTGCTTGCTTGGCCCTTGTAAGTCCCTGAAACCATAAGATCTTGCATATCCCACTGTGGACGTGATAAGTTCTCCCATAATGGGGCAGACAAGCTATTGTTGCAGGACCCAGAGATTAAAAAAAAAGCAAGAAAGTAAAACTAAAAGGCGTTCTCCCATTCCTCCCCTCCACACATGTTGATGGCTGTGGCCTCTCTAGTCTGGGGCACTCGCTCCTCTAAGAGGCCATCAAACCAACCTGTTGGACCTTAGAGAAACTTTCTTTCCAAAGCACATCATTCTAAGTCACTGTCATATGAGCTTTATGAAAACATTCTGTTTGAGAAATCTTTTTTTTTTTTTTTTTTTTTTTTTCCGGAACCAGGGGATCGAACTCAGACCCTTGCGCTTACCAGAGAAGCGCTTATTCCACTGAGCCATCTCCCTGGCCCTGAGAAATCTTATGTACATATGGCAGTTTCCACCAGGATGTGGTTACCTTTAGTTTTCTAAGTTAAAAATCTTAAAGGATTCTTGAGTTTTGCTTGCCCCTAGGGCCCCCACCTATACTACCCTACCTCAGGTCAGGAATATGAACTCATGCTTCTGTGATAGATGGAAAGCTACTAGCACACAGCTTCAACTGCAAATGTGTCTGTCTCATGAATGCATTAAGCTGCCAAGACAATAAGCTACAAGGGAAGGGCAGAATTAGAACTTGTTTGCTTTGTGTATGAGGAGCTATCAGGCTAATGAGGTGCACAGGCACAGGCTAATTAATGATGGGAGACCTTCAGCAGTGTGCTGCTAGCATTTGGGGATGCTCTGCTCCAAAGGCTGTCTGAAATAGCCTGGCTGATATAAAGCTGTTTTCCACACTTGCTTTCTCTTTAACATGCATCTCCTTTGTGGAGTACAGGGGATGGTGGAGGTAGTGGCTGAGAACTATCACAATATCTGGGCCAAAAAGAAGAAGCTGGAACTAGAGAGTAAAGGTGAGCCTGGTTCACAGCCTCCCTCAAGGAGGATGAGGAGCAGGGTGGGGCTGGGATGGGAGCTATCTTCCCCCAAGTGCAAAGGAAGGTCCAAATGTGTAGCCATCTTTCACCTTCCTGACTCCAGGTGGTGGGAGTCACCCTCTTTTGGTGCCGTATGATACCTTGACTGCAAAGGAAAAGTTCCGGGACCGAGAAAAGGCACAGGACCTATTCAAGTTCCTCCAAGTGAATGGCATTATAGTTTCTAGGTGAGTCATCTTTGAAGCGGTTAGTGGGATGGGGTGGGGCCCAGGGTCACCTGCTTACAAAATTCCTCACACTCAGGATTACAGCTGATGCTTTTGGAGAAAGTTATAATGCATGCACACATTCATGTACAAGCACTGTGCCAGGGCCTTTTCCTTGTATATTATTCAAGCAGTTGGAATTACAAATAACATCCATAATAAACCCACAAAGCTTTGAAATTTGGGCTTTGTTAGAGTGCAATGAGAATCTGAGGCACATGCAAAACAATGTAAATATGGTGTATTATTTTTTCTTCAAAAAATTTCTTCCTTCCGTCTTTTACAGTGGTCTCACTCAAGTCTAGTTCAAAAACTGTATATCTGGAAATTACAGGCTGAAAGTATTATTATTTTGTTGCTTTAGATTACAAAACAATAACAAGTATAACTGACAGAAAGGCTGCACAAAGAAAATAATTCTTAGGAAGTTACAACTTCTTTGAGGAGATTGCATATATTGTGATTTCCTAAGACATTTTGTTTCAAATATCTTTTTAAAATTAATTAATTAATTAATTAATTAATTATTTGGTACAGGGTCTCACTATGCAGCTTGGACTTGTAGTGATCCTCCTGTTTTAAGCTTCCCCAGTGTTGAGATTACTGGCATGTGCCACCACACCCAGTTTCAGTGGCTGGCATGGCATGCGATACCAGCAATTAAACCTGGGTCCTTGCACTTGCCAGGCAGGCAGGCACTTAGACCACCATGCTACCTCCCCAGCCCCCTCAAATATTTTTAAGTCAAAATTATCTAGATAAATGTTTCATATGAAGATAATCTTGACTCCACAGGCCTGAAAGACGGGATGTGTTTTCTCATTGGCCAATGGTTAAGGACAGGCTATGCTGTGTATCATACTTGCTGATTCTTTTGCAGGAAAAAAAGAAAAAAAAACACAAACAATAGTTCCTACTCTGCTATAGCCATTCCTCCTGAAAGAAATGCTTGATAGAAAGCTGCTGTTTCTGCTTTCAGGGTTTTTGAAATAGCACTCTTGCCAGTGAATGTCAACAAATAAATAAAAATCTGTACAAATATTTCCACTGTATCTCATATTACAAAATTACACTTCTTGCCATGTTGTTGAGCAGTAAAGGTCAGACAGCAGGAGACAGCCTCCAGGGAAGCATTCGAGGAAGAGTCCCATGGTTATTCTAATCCTGTGCTTAACACCAAGACGAATGTGCAGCACGATTTGCTGATAAATACCTTGCTCACAGAAATGAAAAAGTCCCCTTTCTGTAACTCTAAAGAAAGGCAAGGAAGCAGGGGAATAAAGGAGAAAGATAACTGAATTCAGCAAGCCTATCCACAACAGTTACTAAGCACATGGAAGCTCCCGTGGGAGGCTCTCAGATGAGAAAATGATCAAGGGTGGCCCACCACGGAGGAGATCATAGGATCCCGCCCCAGTCTCAGACGCCCCTATACTTAGCTTCCCTATCACTTGATGACAACCCATCTTCGGTTGCTTAAACCGAAACCCTTGACTCCTCTTGTCTCCACCTACATCCAGTCCTTCAGAGACTCTTGCTGGTTTTATCTTTCAACTATGCCCAGAATCTGCCCATCCTCATGCCCTTCTAGCCATCACCACCATTTCCGTGGCAGCCCCCCTCACTGTCTGACCTAGCCTTGGCCCTGCCATGGTCAATCTTAAAGCATAGCAACCAGAATGATTCTGTTATACTGTGATTTACATCATGTCACTTCTTAACTCACAGGGCCCAGCAGCTTCCCATCTCAGCCAGCGCAAAAGCACAATTACAGAAGGGCTGCAGGGCCCGAAAGGATTGATCCCACTGTCTGCCCTACTCCATTCTGACTGCTTCCCAACTTGCCCTTCACCCCTGCTGGCTTTTATGCCCCATCACTTCCACACAGCACACATGGTTCTGTTCCCAACCCTCGTGTTTCTCTCCTTGTGCCGGGAAAGCTCTTTCCCCAGACATCCATCTGGCCCACCTCCTTTAAGCCTTTATTTCAGTGTCCGTTTCCCAGTAAGACCAATCCTTAATACCAGTCCATGAACCCTCACTCTTCTACTCCCCAGCCTTTTCATCTTGCTGTCATTTTTACTTTTGTTCATATAACTTACTAACTTCTACCAGCCACATAAGGTATATTTTGTTCATCTCTACTGATGCGTAGCATGTGAGTACCACAAAAGTAGTGATTTACGTTTTCTTCTCTGATTTATCCCTAGTTCAGTGTTTAATACACAAATAAAGATCTTTCTTTTAAAAATCTATCCACTCTTAATGAATAGAATGATTTTTTCTAATGGTGTTTGTAAGTAGGATCACAAGTCTGCATCTTGTACAGCAATTAACCACTAAGAAGAATATATGCAGTGTATTATTTGTTGAAACTGTACTTTCTATTTGATTTGAAACTGTCTCATTGCTATATGTTTATCAATAAAACTTTGAAAAGAAAGAAAAAAATAAAAAATAAAAATCTATCCAGCAATGATACATGTATTGCATGCATAGAGAGAGGTTTCCATGCCAGGGGAAGTTGGTTGCATGCCAAGTCATGTCATTAAGCCAGAATGGCCTTGGATGGGGTGGGGGATGTGATGCACCCAAGTCACACGATCGTCTCTGTTACTTCCTGGGGTCTCCCATTTCCAACTTAGAGGTATGAAGGGTATGGATCTGGATGCCTCCTCCATGGAAAAGAGGTTTGCCTACAAATTTTTGAAGAAGATTCTGAAATATGTTGACTCTGCTCAAGAATTTATTGCTCACTTGGGTGAGTATCACTGAGAAATATTTTTTTAAAAATAATTTGATATTCTTTTATCAAAGAATGATCCTTTCATACTAAAGCTCTTTGTAATTTATTTAGATATGATTTTGTAAGGGGTAGAGTGGACAGTGGCTGAGATTTTTTTCTCCACTTACAAAAAGATAGTTTAGCCTTTGACTTTCCCATGAGACTTGATCAGCCATTTGTTAATACAACTTATCCTATTGATTTTCTTGCTGTTTCACTATATGACTGAAGACATAGCATTCAACCTCTCTGAGGGTGCTTCCTCACTGATCAAGTAGAGAAGATAGTGGAACATCTGAAAGAATTCACATAAGAAATAACCAACCAGCACATTTGTAAAATATATTTCATAAAATCATATAGGCTTATGTATGGCCTTCAGAAAAGCCAGTTTCTAAACTGCTGTGATTTTTGTTCTGTTTTCTAACTCTGGCCAATGTTGCATTACCTGTGTCTTTGTAGAAGCCATTGTCAGCAGTGGAAAAACTGAAAAGTCTCCACATGACCAAGAGATCAAATTCTTTGCCAAAGTAAGTGGTTCACTGCACTTAACCAAATTACCTTCTTAGGGTCTCTGCTACTTATGGTGTAAGTTAAACTGATCAAGCAACAACATCTGAAACTCTGATGGCTTCAGTGAGACAGCTGTACATTTCTCCATTGTAGGAGAGACCTCAAGTAGGTGGGAGTCCAAGGAGATTGGCGTCTTGCTTGGTTCCATATCATCATCCAAAGACCCAGGTTCTTCCTCCCTTCTTTCTCCCCAACCACCAGAAGTGTGGTTCATATCAGTGTTCTCCAAACAAGCTTAGCTGTGCCCCATCTAGGGGAAAAAGAGAAGAGGGGTGGGAATCTGCTGCTTTTCAAAAATTCAACCCAGGGTCTAGAACATAGTAATTTTAGCTTCATCTACCTGCAATGGAGACTGAATAGTGCATCTCCTCTAGATGGTCCTCTACCCTGGTAAAAACCCAGGGAGATTTATTGCTAAGAGGAAAAGGGAAAGAATGGATTCAGGTGCCAGTAAGTCTTTTCATCCATGTCATCTTGCCCAGAGAACTAATGGCCTAGAAGGTTTGGCATTGCCTTGCTCTGGGAGACAGAGATAGACACTTGAGCCACCTGGAGTATGTTGTTAAGGGCAGGCCCAAGAAGCCATGTCTGCTTGCAAGTGTCCCCTCAAACTTCCCTCTAAATTCTATCAGATCTCAATGGGCCCCTAGACAGTGGCACTCTTTTGCAGATATCCCCAGAGCCTCTGGCTTGAGGCATAGGAGAAAAAACATATAATGAAAACTAGCATTCAAAAAGTAAATGTTTCGGGGCCAGGGAGATGGCTCAGTAGAATAAGCACTTCCCTGGCAAGCTCAAGGGCCTGAGTTTAATCCCTGGTTCCACCAAAAAAAGTAAATGCTCCTGGAAATTCTAGAACCAATGGTGAGAGGCACTTTGAAAACTGGTAATGAACTTTTTAGCAGGTTCAAGTAGCAAGGTTTTGGGCAGCTTCCTAAAAGTTGACATATGGTGGATTTTGCAGGTTCTCCTCCCACTTGTTGACCAGTACTTCACCAACCACCGCCTCTACTTTCTGTCATCTCCTCTGAAGCCTCTCAGTAGCAGCGGTTATGCCTCCCATAAAGAGAAAGAGATGGTGGCCAGGTGAGTCTACACAACAGAAAGAAGCTCACTGAGTTAGCTTTGAGTTACTGAGATAATCAACACACTATTTAGTACCTGAGATAAGAAACATGTAGAGAGCAAGTATTCCACTCAGAGCTCTGGAATTTCCAGAGCAAGCCCTATTGCTTTGGGCCTCCACAGGGAGTCGGCATGGCAGCGATGGGGAGCAAAATGCCTACCTCACAGCCAGAAAGCAAAAGAGGAGAGGACAATGCTGAAGTCCCACCAATGCATTCAAGGGCACAACCCCTCTGGCCAAACAGCCTCCCGCTGGGCCCCGCTCCTAGAAGCTTCACTACCACCAGCAACAGTCTGGAGACAGAGCCTTTAACACAGAGATTTGGAGCCCATTAACCAAAATAGAGCAGCCACAGGGCTTGGGAGTGTATATTTAAGATACCAGGTGTCTGGGGACTAAATGGCAAGTCTTCTGAAGAAATGAAGTGGAGTCTGATGATCAGTTGCTCAAAAGTTTTGTTGTCATCTGGATTTTGAAAGAAATCATACTCATAGCTATCTGTACAATTTCAACAACTAAAAGTACACCACTGGGAGGATCAGTAGGACTTGGGAAAGATTTACATACAAGTCAACCTGTATCCTGAAATGACATTCAGAAGAAAGCAAAGATCATTCTGCAGCCAGGGAAAAATGAATGCAGTGAGGTGAAATAGGCAGGCACTGCTTTCAGTTCCATTCTTATTCCTTTTTAAGATTAAAATTTTTCAAGGTGAATAGATTTTATAAGACCTAGCACAGATGATCTGAGATTTGAAATGTACAACAACATATACCAAGTTAAGTATCTAACAAAAAAAAAACATGTTTTCTTCAAAAGCATCACCTTCCATATGCATTGCTCTGCTAGTAACACCTATATAAGCTCTCAAAATATGATACCCTTAGAATCATGTACTGATCAAGGATCTGAACATTTTCAGGATATAGACATGTGTTTTTTAAGAAACTAGGGAGATAAAAGCAAGGTGATGTAGTCAGATAATCCACCGAGGGCAGGTGCATCTGTCTACTTCATCTATTTCTCCTACATTATTAATTCATGGAAATGTAACATTTGTTCAACTACTAGAACATTTGTCACTGCTAGAATATGACCTGGAGCTCATCAGCCTGGCAAATAGATTTCAAATCCATCAGCATGCTTACCATCCTCCCATGGTGGTAGTGTTTGTCCTGAATGTGTTTGTGTTGCCAGACTCTTCTTTGCCTCATTTTTGCTTGCCAGACCTCTTTGGGTTCTGGTGCCATTCAGCTTGGGATCCCAGGCCGCCTCCCCTAGAATCTCTTTACCACCTTGGGACTTTTGAGGGGAAAAAAGTAGCTAGGAAGCCTCATGATTAAGTCAGAAGCTGGGTCTATCATGCCTCCTGTTCTCTTTGTGTTGGATCTGTAGGAGATGGCTTATGTTTCTAACCAGCAAGGCATTCAAGCTCACATGAAAATCTGTGAACATTCTCCCTAGCATTCATGCACCAGCCATCCAGCATCCCCATCTTTGGAAGGATGCGCAAATTTAGAATTTGGCTAACATTTACTAAACACTTGGTGTGGCTAAGCACTGAGCTTAAATCTTCAAGTGTAAGAGGTATTACTCATTTGTGAAACCTCGCATCTTACATTCGAAGTACTACCTGCATGCCATGATCTGCACTTTGCAAATGAAGAAGTTATGGTTCAGTGAGGTTCATTCCGGGGTCCAAAGTACCCAGTAAGTGAGGACAAAACTAAAAGCATCATCCTCTCTGTCCGCATTGCATGTTATTTATATTCTACCATAATTACTTATTCTCACTTCAGGCAAGAGAAACCCTAAGCTCTCAAAATATGATACCCTTAGAATCATGTACTGATCAAGGATCTGAACATTTTCAGGATATAGACATGTGTTTTTTAAGAAACTAGGGAGATAAAAGCAAGGTGATGTAGTCAGATAATCCACCAAGGGCAGGTGCATCTGTCTACTTCATCTATTTCTCCTACATTATTAATTCATGGAAATGTAACATTTGTTCAACTACTAGAACATTTGTCACTGCTAGAATATGACCTGGAGCTCATCAGCCTGGCAAATAGATTTCAAATCCATCAGCATGCTTACCATCCTCCCATGGTGGTAGTGTTTGTCCTGAATGTGTTTGTGTTGCCAGACTCTTCTTTGCCTCATTTTTGCTTGCCAGACCTCTTTGGCTTCTGGTGCCATTCAGCTTGGGATCCCAGGCTGCCTCCCCTAGAATCTCTTTACCACCTTGGGACTTTTGAGGTGGACAAGAGGTGCCCAGGAACTCTGGCTCCTTGTAACTATGGCTAAGGGCAGGGCTTCTTCTTACCTCATGGGCACCATAGGAGACAAGCAAGAGACTTAAGAAATTTTAGGTCCTGGCCTGGGGATGCCTGAGAAAGCTCTTCCAATAGTGAGGAGAGCCATGTCAGCATTAAGATCAAATAGCCCAACCTTCTTCATTAGTGAGAAAAGTGTTTTTAAAACATTCTGCACAACATGTTCTGTCCAACCACTTTGAATCCGGAACTGAGTTTATTCTCCTTCCATTCAGGAAATTAGGAGATGTATTTATTACAGATTAGAAAGCTGATGCAGAACAGAGTGGGAATTGTCCTACTAACCTGTTTTGAAACTGTCTCATTGTTATTTCTCTAAAAAAAAAAAAAAACAGAGAGTAGAAAATGGGTTTTCCTTGAGACATCACGTTATGCCTGGCCCAGACCCAGAGCATCTGCAAAGCTAATCACTTTCTTTGGTGCTATTTGTTTTCCTGCTCCAGCAGCAGGAGTATATGTCAAATAAGGGCCAACCCATATTCAATTTCATACCACCTGGATGCCAAATTTCTGTTAAGTTATCATGAGTCCTCTTGATGCCTTAGGCCAAGTGTTCCAATTTATTTCCACCGCAAAACAGTAATAACTAACCACAGGAGATTTTGGCTATAATTTTGCTATAGACAGCCCAGAAAAACCCAAGGAAATAATTGAAAACCATGTAATAGTGAGCAAGTTTCATCCCTGCCAACATTCGGGATGTGTTTTGTCTCTGTTTGAGCTGTCCTATAGAAGACTTCTGTCCTGTTTGAGGCAAGGAGCCCCATGCAAGTTGTGAAGGAGAGACTGGCTACAACTGCAGCTCAATCTCCTCATGGAATCCCATGGCCTAGATAGGGTTTGTTTGTTTGTTTTTGTCTTCTCTTCTTTCTCACTTTCCATCCCATTGCTTTCTGAAAGGTTTTCGAAGTTCCTATCTACCTATATTCTGAGGACTTACCCTCTGAAAGCATCTGCAACACAGATGACACGGTGGCCACAGGGCCCCAGATGAGGTCTAGCTAGCTATAGCATTTTCAGAAACTATACGAGGCCTTCTCTTAGGACTATGGAAAGCCGAGCAACAAGCCGCAGTTGCATCTTCAAGTGGTGTTAGAGAGGAAATTAGGTATAAAGCATAGAGGAGGGTCATAAACACACAAGCAGACTACCTAGGTTTTCCAAGTTTCCAAGGAACCAAGTAGGACAACAACCCAATCAGGCCTGCAGACTAATGGGACATGACAGTGAGAATACATTTCTTAGAACAAAAAAAAAAAAAAATTGACACAATCTCACTCCCTACCCTAACCATTAACATTTTTCCTATCTCAATATGTTGCTCACATCCTGACTAAAAACAGCCTCAAATCCTACTTGAAGGCTGCAAAATGGTTTGCAATCCATTGCAACATGGAAAAATCATGCTTTCTTTCAGAATCCTCATTTATTCTCAAATGTCAAGCAAATGAACATTTCAACATGTGGTATCCTTAGTGAATGAAAGTTTTTCACAGGGTCACTGCCAAACACTCACATCACAGCAGAGGGGTTGTTTTCAGTAACCTCAGAACTGCCTACACATTACCTTTGGTGACACCAGCGACTATGTTAACCACATGTCTTCCTGAGCTTGGTCCAAAGGACTCTTCAAGAAGAATGCAGGGAATCTTCCTAAATACCAATCTGTGCTTTGTGATTTAGTGTGGAGATTGGGAGGAGGGGTACAAATTACTCCTTGAATCCCTATGACTTTCTGAATTGCATTATTTTCTGCTTCAGCCTGTTCTGCAAACTTGCTGCTCTTGTTAGACACAGGATTTCCCTGTTCGGTAAGTGAGAAGTGTTGTTAAAGACTGAACCCCTCCCTAGAGTTATCCTGAACTTGCATTTTGCCATATTTGTGGCTCCCTCAAACAACCTGAGCCTTGGGACTAAGATGTCACCTAAATTCACCATAGAAAATTGGTCTGAAGCATGATAAATGACCTCTCTGCACCCCTAACAGCTCAAATTTTCCACACCAATGAATGTTTTAAGCTCTGCCTCTGACATCTATCGTGGGGCAAGGGCTGTGTCAGACCAGAGATAAATGTCTCTGGACACAGTCCTGGCACCATGTGGTGGTAAGTTCTGCTGGGCTGTGGCTTGTACATATTGAGAAGACAGGCTGAGTGGCCTGGGGAGTCATGGGCAATATTTTTCTTTCTAGGGAGTGATTCTGCTACAATGGTGAGCTGTCTTCACATCTTAGCTCAGACCCTTGATACAAGGTAAGTCTGCCAGTACTTCTCTAGATTCTCCAGATGCCCTCTCTGACTACCTCCTTGGGCAGAGATAAATCTGACCCTGGAAGTCTGCACTGTCTTTTCTCATCCCCATGAGGTGAAGCTGCTATAGAGGCATATACTGAATGCTCAGGGATAAGCATACAATCCACACTCATCTTCTCTTACTAAGATGCTCACCTTTCAGAAGATGAGACACATAATGTAGCACAGCACCAGTCTGTGCTTCACTGTCCCCAGAAAGAGGAGAACTAGTGGGGAGACCGTAAGCATCCTGAGAGAGATGAATGTTATCACTCTGGATTCAACATGCCCCGGAAGGCAGCACAGAGAGATGTGGTGTGTAGGGCTGAGGGGGAATGCGAAGCAGGGAAGGAATGCTTGTAAAATCATAGGTAAACTCTGGTAATATTAGCAAAAATGATGAGATTTTAAAAGAAGTGGTGAAAAGAATTGATAGGCAGTTTTCTTTTACATATATAAATAGAAATATACAGTATATAAAATATATATCAGGCCTAGGAATATAGCTCAGCAGCATAAACACCTGCCTGGCAAGCGCGAGGTTCCAAGCTCAGTCCCTGATACCAGAAAAAAATATATATATATATATTATGCCTGTTAATTTAACAAAATGTTGGGCTTCAGTGTATTTTCATACACGCATATACCTCGATCATCTCTGTCCCCGTTATCCTTACCCTCCTCTCCCATCTCCCCTGTTCCCTTCCGCTTGTCATTAATGGTCTCCCTTTTGCTTCATGCCACTTTAGAGTGCCATCATGTTTAGGGAGAACACAACACACTGAACTTACTTCACCTAACGTTATGATCTCTAGTTCCATCCACTTCCCTGCAAATGACATAATTGTGTTCTTCTCATGACTGAATGGCCTCCATCATGTAGGTGTGCCATGTTTCCCTTACCCATTCACCTGTCAATGGCCACATTGGCTAGTTTTCCTTATCTTGTCCATTGTGAATTATGCTGCAATAAACACGGGTACCCACATATGGTATGCTGATTTTGATTCCTTGGGTTGTGTACCAAAGAGTGCTACTGATGGGTCATGTGGTAAGTGTGATCATAGATTTTTGAGAAACAAAAAAAAAAAAAAATCCTGACAGGCAGCATTAGCACTCTCATTAAGAAATGCTCTTGTTGGGGCCAGGGGATGGCTCAGTGGAATAAACACTTCCCTGGCAAGCTCAAGGGCCTGAGTTCAATCCCCGGTTCCAACAACAACAACATCAAAAAAGAAATGCTCTTGTCAAAGCTGGGATTTGATACATTCTGAGCCCCAGTACAGAAGAGAGCCACCAAGCTAAGAGGGTGGCCCAGCAGTGAAAATTCACAAAAGGGGATATTTTGTAAAAGGGGATAAGGATAATTAAGGGTATACTATGTGTTTTGAGAAAAACAAACATGCTATCATGACATCAAGATAGCGATGCCATCAAATCAGTGACAGTGAACCTTTGAGAGACCAACTGCCCAAACTGCAATCCAAAGTTCGCTGCAATTCAGTGTGAGCATCTGGCAGTTGGTTGCTAGGACAACTGGGCAGCTGTGCCCACAGAAAGAGATATGCATGTCCACTTGGTATGTGTGCTACAGGTTCGCCAGCAGTGGACTGAGCCATCCCAAGCAACCAAACTCCTTTACAGCTGGGATGAGGACTTTTATTACTTATTCATTTATTTATTTGGTAAGGGATCTCCCTACACAGCCCAGACTCATAGTGCCTCCTGTCTCAGCCTCCCCAGCACTGGGATTACAGGTGTGTACCACCACACTCAGTTTTAGTGACCAGCACAGTGGCACAGCGTGCAGAACCAGAGATCAAACCAGGGTCCTTGAGCTTTCCAAGCAGAAGCTGAGACCACTAAGTGATCTCCCTAGCCCCTAAGACTTTCTTACTCTAAGAAACATGCAGACAGGCTTAGAGGGAACCCAGGTTATTTTTTCTAAAAGCAGTCATTAAAAATCATTCTGGGTAAAAGCCATAACTTAAAAGCCCATAAGACCTTACAAAATAGGAATGAGCCTCACTGACTGCTTTCCTTGTTGTTGTTGCCCTAACTGGTTGGATGAATACCAAAAAATACTATAGACAAAAAAAATCTATCCTTGAAGCAGACCTGTCATGATCTTCTGAATAAGATGTAGAGATATGCACAATTAGACATCACTTGTAGTTTTTGTTCCAATCCTAAATTTTTTAAATAATTTTATTGAGAAACAAATAGCTATGAGACAGTTTCAAAATGGATTAATAGGACAGTTTCAATAATTAATACATTGCATATTGCTATCTTCTGTATTGGTTATTCATAGTACAGAATGCAGACATGATATCCTGTCCACACACACTATTAGTACAAATGTTTCTATTCAATGAATTAAGAGAAAGTAGCTCTATATCTGTCCTAACTATTTTGAATATACAGATACAAAGTGGTCCTTCTTTTGTAATTTTTTTATTTTATTTTATTTTTGTGAAGCCAGGGATTGAACTCAGGCCCTTGTGATTGCCTTGTGAAGTGCTTATTCACCTGAGCTATCTCCCTGGCCCCCCAATCCTAAATTTTACAAAATAAGTTTTGAGGAATGAACTCAGATGCTCCTTGCTAATTTCCATTTTCACAGGGCTCACTTCAATGTTCTTCCCCCACCTCCAGCCTAATTAAGCAAATTTTTAAGTCATCTGTTTTAAAAGAACTATTTGTCCCTTTTCTCTCTCCTCATCCAACCAAAGACCACCCCACAAACTGAAAGAAGTCTAAGCTGCAGTCAATGTGTTCCCTCACTCTCACTCTCCCCAGGTTTTGTATTAGAAGGGATCATATCTCCATTTGCTTTATCAAGGTTGCTACAAGAAAAGTTTTCTCTTGGGGCCAGCGAGATAGCTCAGCAGTCTAAAGAGCCTGCTTAGGCAACCTCAGAGACTGCAGTTAGATCCCCAGCACCACTGCTGCACCAGCCCTGCCCCCAGGATGAACTGAGCTAGCCACAAAATCTTTCTTTAAAAAAGTAAAGCTTTCCCTTGCTGCTTTCTAATAAGTGTCCACACACACCTGCTGTGACCTTGTATAGCTCTCAGCTGACAGCATTGTTGTCTCCATGTCCTGATGAGTAGAGCAAGGAATTGTTCCTGCAGTGAGCATACCATCCACTTGCCAGGCTCTGGGGCTGTGTGCTCCAGGTCTCTCCCTCGATATGCATGTTGTCTCATTCTTCCCTTCTTCCTGACCCAGTGTCACTGGGTGACTGGGATTTCAAGCCTGGTAGCACTTCAAGTCACCAGGAGGGGGGATGGTGCTTCTGCTTCTGAGCTCTGTTTGTTTGCAGGACAGTCCTGAAGTCAGGCTCAGAGCTGGTGAAGGCTGGGTTGCGAGGATTCTTCGAAAATGCTGCAGAAGACTTAGAGAAGACTTCAGAAAACTTGAAGCTTGGGAAGTTTACCCACTCCAGAACACAGATCAAAGGGGTTTCCCAGAATATCAATTACACCACAGTGGCTCTGCTCCCCATCCTGACATCGATCTTTGAGCATGTCGCTCAGCATCAGTTCGGGGTAGATCTACTCTGTGAGTCCTACTGCTGTTGTCCTGGACGTCTGTGCCACAGAAAGTGTGGGACCTACCCACTTCTGTTGTTCTTGAGGTCACAGTAGAGACACAGCTGTGCTATATTTTTCTTCTTAGATTAAAAAAAAAAAACAGACTCTTGAAGTATAAGCCCCTTTACTTGAGTATTGTGTATAATATTTGATCTTTTTCCACTTTTATTCTGGACCAAAATTTTCCATGCAGTAGCGTAGCGCTCAGCTACTACTACTGCTTTTTCTTTATTTGAAAAGGTTATCTGAGTAAGACAGCATGAGATGTGTTTGCTCCCAGGCTTTTCAGACATCATTTTTTCCTGTTAAGGAGCCTTAATTTATTCATTGGTACCAGCAGCAAAAGAAAAACGCTAGCATTTCTTTGTCAGAGGCTTCAGATGAAGACCAAAGCCCGCTTGTTCTACTCTAGTTTGCCCTTAGCCCTATGTGCAGCCCACCCTCTCCTGCCCCACAGTTTTCTATCACCAAGCTTCAGTTTTGCACTTGAAATATTGGCATGTGACTTGATCCAGCCCGCTGTCAGTAGCTGAGGCTGTGTGGCCTGAACTGTTAAAAAGCAGTCACTCTCTTTGGTGTGAGTTTTGTGTCATAGAGACATTATAATTCCTTGGTTGAAAAGTAAAACATTAAGTCAGCTTTATTGTGTTAAAATAGTCCTAACCTCAGTATGAGCTTTAAGTATGGCTAAGGACGTGCAGCCTGCACACTAATTTCAAATGAGTTCCTAAGCAGAGTGTGCCCTTCCCGCAGGAACATGGTAATCATGGTACAACCAAATATGGTCAAATTTGCAGAATGTATTCTACCTCTGAAGAACATAAGGCTTTTGTAGATATCTTCCTAGAAAATAAGCAAGAGGGCTCATTGGAACTTTAGGTTTTCTGCGATCTTCCCTCCAAAGGAAGAAAATGGTACACTTGGTAAAATTTGACTATACTGTCTCCCTCCTCTGGGGCAAAAGGAATCCCGATAAGGAAGATTCCATTGGCCAAATGAAGTCTTTCCCTGTAAAGCAGTGCGATCCCCATTAAAAGCCTTATACAACTAAAATGGCTCAGGGACCAGTGTTTTCCTATCAACATTTTTCTTGGAGTGTCAGTAGCTGCCATAGCAAACTAGGATCTGGGTAAAGGGGTTGCATTTGTTTTTAAAAAGAGGGACAGAGGAGAAAAGGGAGAGGGGGAAGGGCAGTGGGGAACACAGCAGAAGAGGGAGAGGGAGTGGGAAGAAGGGAGAGCTTCTACTGGTGCCTAAGGCTTTTCTCCTCATGGGCCTTTCTATGTACAAAAGGAGCTGGGATTAACATGTTATAATGGCATCTCTTCTTCATTTCAGTGAGTGACGTGCAGATTTCATGCTACCACATACTGTGCAGCCTTTACTCCCTTGGGACAGGAAAAAACATCTATGTTGAAAGGTAATTAGTGAAAAAAAAGAGATTTACACATTTAGGCTGAGAAAAACATTACCTACTTTAAAAAAAAAAAAAAAACCTTAATAACATCTTTTCAATCCAGTGAAACCAAAATGTTCACTGACCTACAGTACTAGTTTTGAGGCAAAATTATGAAATGTCCATTGTGATACAAAGTGGAAAGAAGCTTTTGAGATTGATGAGTTGTATGAGGAGCGCTGGTAAGTGCATGTGTCTGGAGGAACAGCATAGCCAAGTCAAATTGTGTGCCAGTAACTAAAAAATGTTGAAGGTGTGCCAATTTCTTCATCATCACAACTTTCAGATGGCTTCCCAATTTCCTGTGGTTAGAGCTTGCCGGGATACTCAAAGGACTGCAGGCAGTTGCTGTAGCGTCTAATGACTCTGTGTGATACAACCCTAGACCTTTGCCATTCCTTGCTGTCAGATTAACTATTTTAAACAAGTGCAGAAATGTTGTTTAATAATCTCAAGTCTGAACAACCTTATTTTCAGGGGTGTTAGAGTCCCAGCTTTGGCTCTCTAATCTGCCTCTTGAAGTGGAGGCCTTGGTGACCCCTTGCTGTCAGCATCAAATGCCATGTGTTGTGGTTTCTATTTAAATTCAGATATGGATTAGAAGGATAAACACAGTGTTAACAAAACTCTAGACTTAGTATTATCCTTGGAAAATTTTTTTTCCTCATCTGTCCCTTCAGACAAGCCTGAAGAAATTTAACCTGTGCTTTAAATTACTCAATCTAAACATCACTTGACAACTACTTGCCATGAGTTACCGCCAATGGGCTGGCTCTCAGGAGGTCCTGGAAGCTGAAATAAGGAATGTAACCCATGATCTTGTAGAGTAAGGTTGTAAGTTCATTGACTCCCATCAAGGAAAAAAAATATTTTCAGGATATGTCAGTAAAAGACATAAGAAGGATTTATTAGGCAGGGATTTTAGCATACACTCAAGAGTAGGGTATAGGTGCTGAGAGAAATGAGATTCATTATTTCCTAGGACCAAAACATTTATGCTTCTCTTGAAGGGCTAGAAACCCTAACCAAATGGCTCACTCCTGGGCAGCACACAGCCACTCTACAGGCCTGGGCATTGTGGATTTACTTGTTTGTTTTTGAATAGCTAATTTGAGGTTCTTTTGATTCTCTCAACCTGCTCCTTCATCTTAGGATAAGCTTCTTGCTCCTCACTTTCTTAGTTAAGCCAGTTTATGGATTTCTGTTGTTCTTGAGGCATTTTTGTGTGATGGGTCAAGTAGGAAGCGCACCTAACTTCAACAAAACGAGTTTTGATGGGTGGACTTTGGGTAGTTTTGGCTGTCAAAGGTCCAAAATTTGTAGTCTTCTTAAAAGTACAATGTTTAGTTATGATTTCATCTACTTTTTATTTCTCTTATCTCACTAACCTCATTTATGATGTTTTCACCAAACAAACTGTAAGTGGCCATTTGATGACAAACCTACAAAAATTCAAATTTCATTTTTCTTCAACAAACCAAAATAGAAAAAAAAAAGACTTGTATCTCTTTACTCTAAGAATTAAACCAATTGAATTGGAACCATGTGGTAGTAACCAAAAATTATTGAAGAAATATATGTCTTTTGTTCATAATAATCACAACTTCCAACTAGCTTCCAAAGTTCAGGAAATTAGTTGAAAAATGGTTACTGAATTTAATTTGATTACTATTTTAAGTCCTTGAAATTGCTTAACTTTCCTTATTATTTTACATAAAATATGGATAGTTTTGTATGGATAGGAAGACAAAATTTTAAACATTTTTATACCAATTTAACAGGCAAAAAAGTTAATTTTTCATTTAATACTAATTTCACTTAGAGGTTTTTTGAGTACATTTCTTCCACTGATTACTTGTAAATATCTTTAGTACCTTTTTTATTATCTCACAGTGTACTGGATATGTATATATATCCACCCATATGTGTGTGCATTCTTGTACAATTTCCTGTTAAGTTCTTACTGAGACAGGGATTCAGTAGGTAGTTCAGGCTGGCCTTGAATTCACTTTGTATCCCAGGCTGAGCTCAAACTCACAACGTTTGTCCTGCCTCAGCCTCCTGAGAGCTGGGATTACACGTGTACACCACCATGTCCAGTCTCTCATTCTCATTGTTTCAAGCAAAAGCTTATCTTTTAGCCCCTCAAATCCCCCTTATCATCTCCAGAGACTTATTAACAATTTTCTAAGCTTACAAAGTATGGTTCCACTTCTGTATCCATACTTGATACAGTCTATGTACCTTGAAATTATCACACATGATCCAGTTGAAGCAAAGATCCAGATTTCTTCCCATTTTCCTCCTCCTTCCTTATAAGTTTTAGGGAGGAAATTATAATGAACTTGCCATTTCCGTACCACATTTTACTGAATTTTCCTTGGCAGATAAATGTCTGTAGGATCATAAAGGAATCAAAAAATATTTATTATAATTGTACCTAGAAAATAGTTTGTGATTAGGAAAGATTCCAAGTACATTGATGACAGGGTTGACTGTGAGGAAGAAAAGTACTGAAACAGAGTAAAGACATTTCTTTTCCAATTTTTCTAGTGGACACAATACTGAGAATGTCATTGACTAGTGAGATTTTCATGCACAAAACTTCCGGAAAGGATAAAGGCTATTGCATATTCAATCATGCAGAACACTTGCATTCTTTAACACAAAGTATCTTTGATTAATTTAGGGAGTATTTCATGGGAATTTACTGAGGTAACTATTGGAACTCAATTTCCTTAATCATTTAATCTCAGTTTTACTTTGTATGAAAACTGTTTTCTCTTTCACTTCTTACAGGTTCCTTACATTGTGTCTGCCTCCTTTGACAAGTTATTTATTTATATTAGTACATGTTTGTGGCACATACTAGTTGCATCCAGTGAGAGAAGTTGGTGCATGTATGTAAGACATCTTAACTGTTTAATATCTCCTCCTCCTACCACCCCACCTCTCTCCCTCTCTTGGCCCTCTTCCTACTTGGAAAATATTTAAATCTTTGTTTCCTGTTACCTATCTTTTATTTTGTTCTTTAATGTATTTATACTTGGGTTTCCTCATGTTAAAAAATAACGTGTGGATTGCAGAGATAGCCTGGCAGTCTAAGCACCTGCCTGGGAGATGCAAAGACTGGGGTTCAAAACCCAGTACCACATGGTGGCACATGCCTGTAATCCCAGTGCTGGGAGGCTGAGACAGGAAGATCACTGTGAGTCCACACTACACAGTGAGGCCCTGTACCAAATAAATAAATAAATAAATAAATAAATAAATAAAATTTAAACAGAAAAAGAAAGGCAGCATTTAAAAAAAAAAAGTGAAGGGTTGGGGAGATAGTTCAGTAGAATAAGAGCTTACCTGGCAAGAGCAAGGGCCTGAGTTCAATCTCCGGTTCCTAAAAAAAAAAAAAAGAAAAACAGAGACTGGGCATGGTGGCACACGCCTGTAATCCCAACACTTAGGAGGCTGAAACAGGAGGATCAGTACAAGTCCAATCTGTGTAGTAAGACCCTGTAGATCATGTACTAAATACATAAAAAAGTGCTAATTAAATTTTTGTGTCTGATTTCTTTTATTGAATATTATTATCTCAAAATTCACCTGTTTTCCTACAAAGAACTCAAATTTATATTTGTTTATGGCAGAATAGTACTCTGTTGTATATAAATACCCCATTTTTTAAAAAAATCCTTTCATCCTTTGATGAATATTTACACCACTTCCAAGGTTTAACTATTGTGAATCATGCTGCACAAACATGTGTGTGCATGTAACACTCTAATAAAGTCCTTAACTTTCAGGAAGATACCTAGAAAAACAGCTAGGTTAAATGCAAGACCTAGTTTTAGTTTTCTGTGGAATCTCCATACTGATTTCTGTAGTGGTTGCACTAGTTTACACTTCCACCAACAACGTAGAAGAGTTCATTTCTCCCTACAGCCCCACCAGTATTCATTATTATTTCATTTCTTGGTGAAAGTCATTTTTTCTGGGGTAAAAAGGAAACCTATTGTTGTTTGCATTTGCATTTCTCTAATGACCAGAAAGATTGAAAATTTTTATTGGCCATTTGAAATTCTGAAAAGTGTCTGAACATTACAGTTGGCCATTTCTTTATTGGGGGTTTTTATTTGAAAATATCTATTTGTTTTAGTTTTTTATGTATTATAGATATTGGTTGTCTAAGTAATAGCTGGTAAAAAAAAAAAATCCCATGCTGTAGATTTTCTCTTCACTTTGTTGGTTGTTTCCTTTGAAATGCAGAAACCCTTTAACTTAATATAATACTTATTGATTATTGATGCTATTTCTTATGCAAATGATGTTCTGTTTAAAATTCTGTCCCTGTGACTTCAAAAGCTTTACCTGCTTTATCTTTAGCAGATTGCTTCTGTTTTATTTTTTTTCTTATATTTTAATATCAAGATCTTTGATCCACTTTGATTTTATTTTATTGTATGGTTAGCATAAATGTAGATTCACTCTTATGCATGTATAAAGCCAGTTTTCCAGCTCATTTGCTAAGAGGCTACCTTTGCTCTAGTGTATAATCTTTTGTTCTTTTGTCAAAGATCAGATGGCTCAATGTGTGTAGCATTATTTCTTCATTCCTTATTCTGTTCCACTGATCCATATGTCTGTTTCTGTGCCAGCACCTTGCTGTTTTTATGACTTTAGGTTTGCAACATGAGTTGAAAAACCAGGATTTTGATACCTTCTGCTATGTTCTTGTTACCCAGAACTACTTTTGCTCTTCTGCATCTTTTCTGGTTCTCTATGAATTTTAAAATTATTTTCTCTAGTTCTGTATTCTTATGATATTTAAATTTGGTTTGCATTAAACCTGTATGTCATTTGGAGAAGTTGCCATTTTGCCAATATTGGTTCTGCTTATCCAAGAACAAGGAGTATCTTTCAATTTTATGATGTCCTCTTCAATCTCCTTTTTCAGAATACTGAAGTTTTGTTGTACAGTCCTTCCCTTTCCTTGCTTAGGTGAATTCCTAAGAATTTAATTTTTCATGATGGTATTATGAATGGTATTTTGGCCTAATTTCTTTCTTGCTGAGTTCATTGTTAGTATACAGGAACACTATTGATTTCTGTGTGTCCATCCTACTATATTGCTTAATCTTTTAGTTCTAAAAGTCTTTTTGTAGAATGGTTTGGGTCTTCTATGTAGATGATCGTGTCTTCTGCAAATAGTAGTTTGACTTCTCCCTTTCTTATAGGTATCTTTTCTTTCTTTTGCCTGATTGCTTTGGCTAATATTCTGAGTACTATGTTGAACACTAGTGGTGATCAAGAGCATCTTTGTCTTGTTTCTGATTTTAGAAAGAGTATTTTCAGCATTTTTCCATTTAATATGACACTGGCAGTAGGCTTTTCATAAATGGCTTTTAACAGATTGAGATATGGTTCTTCTATACCTAATTTCTTTAGGGCTTTTTAATCATGGATGGATGTTAGATTTTGTCAAAGACTTTTTTGCATTTACTAAGACAACTATGTGACTCTTATAGCTATATTTATGTAGTATATTATATTTATTGATTTGTGTTGTTGAACCTTCATTGCTTCCCCCATCATCTTTTTAATGATTTGTTGCATTCTATTTTTCAGAACCTTGTTGAAGATTTTGCATCTATATTCATTAGAAATTGACCTAATGTTTCCTTTTTTAGTTTAGTCCTTCTCTAGTTTGGGAATTATGATAATGCTAGCTTCTGGTATTGACATTAGGAGTGCTCCTCCCATTTCAATTTCATTTAAATGTCCAAAAAGTATTGAGATTAGACCTTCCTTGAAATTTGTGTAGAATTCAGTAATCTGTCTAGTCCTGGGAATTTCGTTGTTGGTAGATTTATTATTACTGCTTCAATTTTATTGCCTGTTAATGGATTATTAGAGTTTTTATATTTTCTTGGTTCCGTTTGGTAATTTGTATATGTCTAGGACTATCCACTTCTGGATTCTCCAATTTGTTAAAACAGATTTTTAAATCTAGATTCTGATGGTGTCTATTGTGCTTTCAGCTTTTGCGTGTGTGTGTGTGTGTGTGTGTGTGTGTGTGTGTGTGTGTATGTATAGTGACTCAGCTCACCCTGAGGGCAGGGCTGGCTCAGCATGTGGTGTGGGAAATCAAACCACATCCCCGTGGCTGCCTCAGCTTGCCTAAGCAAGCACTTTAGACTGCTGAGCTATCTCACTGGCCCCTCAGTTTTTTCGTTTTTAATTGCATTAATTTGGGTCTTTTTTAAGTGATCATTCCTTTTTTAAGGTTTGTCTATTTTTGTTATTCTTTTGGGGAAACAGCTCTTCAATTCATTGTTCTTTGAATATCTTTAGTCTCAATTTCATTAACTTCTGCTCTGATCTTGACCTTTAGGTCATTTTTTGGGATTGCTCTGTTTATTTGATGTGGGAATTCACAGCTATAACTTCTTTCATTGTTTTCCACTGGTGCATTGTATTTGCATTATCTTTTTATTATAGAAATTAATTTCTTCCATGACCTCTTGATTATTCCTCCATGTACTTCCATAATTTTCATGGTTTCTTTTGCCAATGATTTCTAGTTTCATTGTACTGTGATGTGATAATATGCATGGGATAATTTCAAATCTTTTGTATTTACTTAAGCATGTTTTATGGAATAGTATGTGGTCTATTTTGAAGAAACTTTCATGTGCTTCTGAAAAAAAAGTATAGTCTGTGATTATTGAATTAAACATTCTGTAAACATCTCTTAAATTCATTTGTTCAAAGGCATGGTTCAACTCTAATCAAATGTGTTTCATATACAGCCTGCCATTTGGTTTTCTATTTTGATCTCATCTGCAAGTCTGTCTTTTGATCAGGGAATGTGGACCATATACAATGAGTTCTTACTGAACAGTATTGACTTATTCTTGTTATTGTATATTTTCCTCTTGCTAATTTGTTTTTCCACTTCTGCTTCACCTCTTGCCCTACCTGGTGTGTTCGTTCCATTAGACTTTTTGACATTGTTGCCTTCACTATCCCTTCCCAGAATATTTTTGAGAACTTTTTGGAGTACTGGTTTGGTGGTCATGAATTTCTTGAGGTGCCCTTTGTCATAGAAAAGTCTATTTCTCCATCAATTTCTCAAGCTTTCCAGACTTTGAAGGTCTGTATTGAGGACTCTATTGTAACTCTAATGGATTTGCCTTTATAAGTAACACTGCTTTTCTTTAATAGCTCTTAAGGCTCTGTCCTTGTATTGGACTTCTGAGATTTTGACTATGATGTGTCATAGTGACGTGACATTCTTTTCTGATTGTGGGAGCATGACAACCTTTTCTGATCATGACCATGTGGGATGCTGTCTGCCTCATTTAATTGTATGGTGAAAATTTTACTCCTGCTTAGAAAATTTTCTGTTATTAGTTCTGCAAACATGGCTTTACATCATTCATGTTGTCCTCTAATTTTATTTTACTCATTCCAGTCCATCCGAAGTCAGTTTTCATTGAGGCATCAACTGGCAGGCCAGCTTTCTATTCTCTCGTTCTCGTGCTCTCTCTAGCTCTCTCTTTTGTATTTTTCGTACAGGGTCTCCAGGGTCTCACTATGTAGGTTGAACTCATAGTGATCCTCCTGTTTTCAGCCTCCCAGAGCTGGGATTGCAGACCCACCACCACGCCCAGTCTCACTCGCCCATCTCAGCATGCCCCGGGGCAGGGCCGGCTCAGCACACCAGGGATTGAGCCCTGGCTGCTGTGTCTGCCTAAGCAGGTGCTGTAGTCCACTGAGCTATTTGACTGGCCCTATATATTCTCTTATTTTCAAGCTACTGTTGATTTTGTATCCCTTAGGTCACACCTACCTTCTAGTGCTGACACTGCGTCCACACATTGGTCATTTCTGCTGCCCATACTTTCAATAGGATTTGTAATCTCCCAGATTTCTATTTGGTAACTCTTCATGAACTCTAATTTTTTTGTAAGCTGGTCATTCACATTTTGTATAATGCTGTTTAACTTAAATCTACCTTTTTATTATTATCTTCTAGAAGCTCATTGATCATTTTGTTTATTAAGTCCTTTGTTTAATTATATCCTCTGAATACCTTATTAATCTGTTAATTGTCTCCTTTTATTATTTTGTATAATTCTGCATTCGGCTTTTGATTTTCACACCATCAATGCCTCCCTGATCAGGTTGGGGGAAGCATTTTGTTGCCTGTCCTCACATGGTATGTGTGTGGGGTGTCTGTGTGTCTGTGTGTCTGTGTATCCATGTGTTTGTGTCTGTGTGTGTCTGTGTGTCCGTGTGTTTATGTCTGTGTGTCTGTACCTCCATGTGTGTATCTGTGTATGTCTGTGTGTCTGTGTGTGTCTATGTGTGTGTCTGTGTGTCTGTGTATCCATGTGTTTGTATCTGCGTGTGTCTGTATGTCCATGTGTGTGTGTCTGTGTGTCTGTGTGTCTGTGCATGTCTGTGTGTTTATGTGTGTCCATGTGTCTGTCTGTGTGTCCATGTGTGTCTGTGTTTCTGTGTATGTCCGTGTGTGTCTGTGTGCGTGTGTCTCTGTGTCAGTGTGTGTCTGTGTATGTGTCCGTGTGCTTGTATGTGTCTGTATGTCTGTATGTGTATCTGTGTGAGTCTGTGTCTGTGTACATGTATGTGTGCCTGTGTGTTGGTATGTGTCTGTGTCTGTGTGTGTGTCTGTGTGTGCCTGTGTGTCTGTGTGTCCATGTGTGTGTGTTTCTACGTATGTCCATGTGTGTCTGTGTGTGTCCATGTGTGTGTTCCCATATGTGTCTGTGTGTCCGTGTGCATGTGCATGCCTAAATGCTGAGGTATGGAGATCTGTTAGTGTTTGCTTTTCAGTGGTGCCCTCCGGACATGGGTACATGTAGGCCTTTTTCTCTGTCCCAAGATCTAAGTGCCTCGATTACTTCAGGAGGGAAAGGTACAGAGTAATTGGTCTGGTACCTAATTCTCAAACAACGAACTTCAGTATTGTTACAGCATAAAACACTGTGGCAGGACAACACCAAGACCCTGAAGTACAGTTGGTTCTGTAGCTCAATTTTAAACAAGCATTTCTCCAAATGGCCACAAATTAAACACTCTCAAATATTCTAGGTGCTGCACTGCCTTTTTTTCCTCAACACCAGCCTGCCATGAGGAAGGATTCACTTTCAGAGTAAAACCCTGTACTATCTTGCAGTTTATAACAACCACCTGGCTTTCATAGACTGCTGATGACCTAGTGCACTGTTTCTCCCAGGGCTGCCACCTCACTTTGGCTTTACCTTGTGTTAGCAAAGGCAGGTTCTCCTCCCTGGAGCCCGGCCCCTTTTCCAGCTACCCCATACTTTTTTGCAACATTGTGCTTTGTTTCTCAGGCTTCTCTGTGGTATCTGATTTTCTTGCCAGCTCCCTCCTAATTCCTGGAGATCTGCTTCTTGTTTTCTCTTCACTAAAGTTGTCATTTCCCAGGTATCTTGATTCTAGGTCCTAGAAAGGTTATATTTTGCTAATTCACCATTTTTGTCCTCCCTGCTTTGACCATTTTTAAATTGTTTAAAAATTATTTATTTGGGGCCTGCCAAATAGTTCAGCAGATTAAAGTGCCTGCAAGAAGGTGCAGGAGCCAAGTTCAATCCCTGGTCCTGCTGTGCTGGCCCCACCCCCAGGGCACACTGTGATGGCGATTGAGACTGGGCATGGTGGCACGTGCCTGTAATCCCAGCTCTTAGGAGGCTATAAACAGGTGGACCACTACAAGTCTGATCTAGTAGGGAGACCCCGAGCACCCTGTAGACCCTTCCCTAAAATACAAAAAAAATTATTTATTTATTCATTTTTATAAGGTTTTGTTATGCAGTTCACACTTGTAGTGATACTCCTGTCTCAGCTTCCCCAGTGCTGGGATTATAGTTGCACACCACCACGCCCGGTTTCACCCAGGTTCCATGTCCAGCATGGCATACAGTACAAGGAATCAATGTCCTTGTGCTTGTCAGGCAGGAGCTCAGAACACCAAGCTATCTCCCTAGCCCCCTTTGACCATTTTTGGTGAGACATTGTACATGTTCTATAAACCTCTAAGCTTACTAATACTGCTACCTAGGTTCACATCATCCATATCACCACTATATTTTCTACTTCTCTGCTACGTGTTATTTCCTTTCTAGCATCCTGTGGAATATAGATAATAGAGCTGCAGGACTTTGTGTAGAGAGACAGACACCAAGGCTTTTTCCCCATGAAACAGCTTTATTCCAGCCATCACTAAGCACCGAACACAGCAGAGTTGCACCCTTTCATACACGTTTTATGTCTTTGTTTCCCTTGTGTGGGTATACACTAACATTTGGCTGTCTAGTTGGTATACATCATCATCCTGTAGTCTAGTTGGGTATGATTCATGTTATGGAGTTCCATCAGAAATGCACATGTATACGCAAGAGGCTGCTCTCACTACACTGTAAAATGTTCCCACTCCAATACTTGGGGGCTGAGGGACTACCACAAAGAACTTTCAAAATTGTAAAGTACTCTATGTGTGCATGGCATTGTTGTTATTATTGTGATGACTGACTTTACCATTGTTCCTGACAGTAGATATTTGAGAGATCCCTTTCCATTGAGATCTATGGAAATACAACTGAGAAATTGATAAAGAAAGCCTGCTACTTGATAAATTAGAAAGTAACAACTACTGAAATACAATCTTCAATCTATCACTACTGACCAAGCATTTTGTATATGAAAAATGCTATATACTATATAGTTGATAATAAGAACTAAAGAAAACAAAGTGTTTCCCTATGAGTGATAAACTGAGTAGATTGGTTGTTACAGAGCTGTCTTGTAGTCTTGCCCTGCCTGGAAGTCTGGCTCACCCCCACACTACCCTCGAGGGGCACGAAGGACCAGAGGAGCATTATATTAATAGGACTTTTCCTAACTCACTTGCTTCTTACACAGAGAGACCAAGACCATCCACTCGGGTATTTTGCACTCAGGAGTATTCATTGGCAGACTTTTGGGCTTTACTTTTACAGATCAGTTTTATCAGCTAAGCCAGGAGAGCTGTTGTTATCTTTGTTGACTGAAGAGCTAATTAGCATCATTGTGTGCCCTGGACTAGAAAATGTCCTGTTGAGCTGGTGAGACTCAGATTTGTCAGTAATTAATATCAGAGAGGACAGGGCCATGCCCCTGTCAACGCAGCCTTGGAGAAGGGAAGCTGTGGACCGCCTGCTTCCCCGAAGCCCTGCCTTTGTGGTTGACTGACGTTCCAGAAACCCACTTTCCTGAGATTGTGCTTTTAATTTTGGTAAAAGAGAAATATATAATAAAAAAAGAAAAGAGCAATCTGGCACCAAGGCAATTCAGAGCCATTTCCTGGGTCTTTATCCTTGTGACAACAGAAATTTCATATCAGATTCAAGATCTTACCTCTTGTCATTTCTTATTTTCCCTTAGATTTTTTTCATCAATGTTCTCCCTATGGTATTTCTTTATCCATCAAAATTTATCTCATTTTCTCTTCCTAAAAGAAATACTGAAGAGAAGAAACATTCTTTCTTTCTCCTCATTGACCTCTGCAGCTGATATAAGTAGAAAAACTGCTGCAGGTCCTCTATGGAAGCCTTCACTGGCCTGTAGTTTCTGAAGTATTCACCATTCAGGTTTGAAGTTCAAGGCCTTCCCTCCAGCTTGTGTTTCAGAAAAGAAGGGGAAATTCCTAGCTAGGGCAGGGAATGAGAAGAAAAGGCATAGCAGTAGGCCTCTATGGGCCTGCTCTGGCATGGACCTGGGGCTCCAGAGGCTGCAATCCCCCTACTCCCCTTCACCACACACATACCACCAGGCGTCCCCAGGGCACTGTTAACATGCAGGGCACAGAAGGATTTGTTTGGTCCCAGGGTGTTTCTTTGCCTTTTGATCTGACACAGAGAGGGAACTTTAATAGTTAAATCATTTTTTTCTTTTTTTTCCATAATTTTATTGAGAGACAAATAGCAATAAGATACTTTCAAATCAAATTGGTATGACAGTTTCAATAATTCACACATTGCATACCCTCTTCCTAGTGGTTATTTGCTGTACAAGATGCAGACATGATATCCTATTTACAAACACTATTAGAACAAATCCCTCTATTCA